GCTGAAATGTCTTGAGTCTAAGTATTCAACCCTTTTTTGTTATGGAAAGCATAAGTTCAGGAGTAAAAATGTGCTTAACAAGTCACATAATAAATAAGTTGTATGGACTTGCTCTGTGTGCAATAAGTGTTTTTAACATGATTTGTAAATGATTACCCCATCTCTGTACCCCACACATACAATTATCTGTAAAATCCCTCAGTCGAGCAGTGATTCCAGCACAGATTCAACCACAAAGACCAGGGAGGTTTTCCAATGGTTTGCAAAGAAGGGCACCTCTTGGTAGATGGTTAAAAAAAAAAGCAGACATTGAATATCCATTTGAGCATGGTGAAGTTATTAATTACACTTTGGGTGGTGTATCAATACACCCAGTCACTACAAAGATACATGCGTCCTTCCTAACTCAGTTGCCAGAGGAAGGAAACCTATCAGGGATTTCACCATGAAGCCAGTGGTGATTTTAAAACAGAGTTTAATGGCTGTGATAGGAGAACTGAGGATGGATCAACAACATTGTAGTTAATGCACAATACTAACATACCTGTGAAAAGAAGGAAGCCTGTACAGAATAAAAATATTCCAAAACATGCATCCTGTTTGCAATAAGGCACTAAAGTAATACTGCAACAAATGTGACAAAGAAATACACTTTTTGTCCTGAATACAAAGCGTTATGTTTGGGGCAAATCCAACAACACATTGAGTACCACTCTTCAAATTTTCAAGCATGGTGGTGGCTGCATCATGTTATGGGTATGCTTGTCATCGGCAATGACTAGGTAGTTTTTTAGGATAAAAATAAACGGAATAGAGCTAAGCACAAGCAAAATCCTAGAGGAAAACTTGGTTCAGTCTGCTTTCCAACAGACACTGGGAGACAAATTCACCTTTCAGCAGGACAATTATCTAAAACACAAGGCCAAATATATGCTGGAGTTGCTTACCAAGACGACATTGAATGTTCCTGAGTGGCCTAGTTACAGTTTTGACTTAAATCGGCTTAAAAATCTATGACTTGAAAATGTCTGTCTAGCAATGATCAACAATAAAAATACATAAAAGTTCGATTTTGTTTTCTCTCACTTTGACAGAGTATTTTGTGTAGATCATTGACAAAAAATGACAAATCCATTTCAAATCCCACTTTGTAACACAACAAAATGTGGAAAAAGTCAAGAGGTGTGAATACTTTCTATCAGGCCTCCTAACCCAGTGGTTTATGCATATATACCATATCACAGAAAAGGCTGGCAAGCGACTGTCAGAGATGGCATGATTGAATTGTTCCGTCGCACTGCCACTAGAGAGGCAATTACTTCAAATTAGCATACACATTCAAACCAGAACAGATGGATTTGTCCCATTCCAGTCGCCATCTTCCTGTGAGATTGGCTGCTCTTGTGCTGCGTGATGGAGATAAGACACCTGTCTGGGCTCGGATCGGGAGGAAAGGCTGGTGGAAAATCCCCCCGCCCAACGCCCAAACTGATGAGGCCTCCATCCAGCGCCCCATGGGAGGTCCAGAGATGCAGTCGTTCCCATCCAAAGTGGTGATTTGTGTGCCGGTTGGCTAGTGGCGAACAAAGCCATTACATCGTACGTTTGTCTCAGAGTTTGTGGTTTTGGTAAGTTATGTTTGAAGACAGCTCTTGAACGGTGCCTGTCCTCTGTCACATTCAAAAGGGGGCACATCAGCAAAGGCTGAGAATGACTGTGTCAGCAGGTGAGGGTTGGGTGAACAGTGATGCCCAGGCAATCTCCTTCCTCTACATAATAATGCATCCATGGCTTCTTATCACTCAGGACTCAAGGTTAAGCTTCTAAAAAATAATGCATTTGCTGAAATTATACAACTCCTTTATATTGAAATTTGAGATTACTAAACTTCGATCATGACTGCTTAGGCATAAATGAATGTGATTTTAAAATGGTGAAAATATCAGCTAGTATGTGGACGGGCCATGTTGTAATGCAAACCATGCAATTACAATTCAGACACAATCATAGAAAACAAATGTGTTTACATGACACACATTTTACCATTGGATTGAACTGTACACACCATTGTCTTCCGACTGATGGCGTCATTCTAACGCAACTAACGTCTGACTGACGTAAGACAATGCTGTACACATTAGAAAAAGGAGATATGGTGGATGGGTCTAAAAAGGAAATGTGTTAAATATACACTACCAGTCAAAAGTTTTAGAACACCAACTCATTCAAGGGTTTTTCTTTATTTTTACTATTTTCTACATTGTAGAATAATAGTGAAGACATCAAAACTATGAAATAACACATATGGAATCATGTAGTAACCAAAAAAGTGTTAAACAAATCAAAATATATTTTATATTTGAGATTCTTCAAATAGCCACCCCCTGCGTTGATGACAGCTTTGCACACTCTTGGCATTCTCTCAACCAGCTTCATGAGGTAGTCACCAGGAATGCATTTCAATTAACAGGTGTGCCTTCTTAAAAATAATTTATTTCCTTCTTAATGCATTTGAGCCAATCAGTTGTGTTGTGACAAGGTATGGGGGTATACAGAAGATAGCCCTATTTGGTAAAAGACCAAGTCCATATTATGGCAAGAACAGCTCAAATAAGCAAAGAGAAACAACAGTCCATCATTACTTTAAGACATGAAGGTCAGTCAATACAGAACATTTCAAGAACTTTGCAGTCGCAAAAACCATCAAGCGCTATGATGAAACTGGCTCTCATGAGGACCGCCACAGGAATGGAAGACCCAGAGTTACCTCTGCTGCAGAGGATAAATTCATTAGTTACCAGCCTCAGAAATTGTAGCCCAAATAAATGCTTCACATAGTTCAAGTAACAGACACATCTCATCAACTACTGTTCAGAGGAGACTGTGTGAATCAGGCCTTCATGGTCGAATTGCTGCAAAGAAACCACTACTAAAGGACACCAATAAGAAGAAGAGACCTGCTTGGGCCAAGAAACGAGCAATGGATATTAGACCGGTGGAAATGTGTCCTTTGGTCTGGAGTCCAAATTTGAGATTTTTGGTTCCAAGTGCTGTGTCTTTGTGAGACGCGGTGTGGGTGAACGGATGATCTCCGCATGTCAATTTCCCACCGTAAAGCATGGAGGAGGAGGTGTTATGGTGTGGGGGTGCTTTGCTGGTGACACGGTCTGTGATTTATTTAGAATTCAAGGCACACTTAACCAGCATGGCTACCACAGCATTCTGCAGCGATACGCCATCCCATCTGGTTTGGGCTTAGTGGGACTATAATTTGTTTTTCAACAGGACAATGACCCAACACACCTCCAGGCTGTGTAAGGGCTATTTTACCAAGAAGGAGAGTGATGGATGGCTGCATCAGATGACCTGGCCTCCACAATCCCCCGACCTCAACCAAGTTGAGATAGTTTGGGATGAGTCGGACCGCAGAGTGAAGGTAAAGCAGCCAACAAGTGCCCAGCATATGTGGGAACTCCTTTAAGACTTTTGGAAAAGCATTCCAGGTGAAGATGGTTGAGAGAATGCCAAGAGTGTGCAAAGCTGTCATCAAGGCAAAGGGTGGCTATTTGAAGAATCTCAAATGTAAAATATATTTTGATTTGTTTAACACTTTTTTGGTTACTACATGATTCCATATGTGTTATTTCATAGTTTTGATGTCTTCACTATTATTCCACAATGTAGAAAATAGAAAAAATCAAGAAAAACCCTTGAATGAGTAGGTGTTCTAAAACTTTTGACCGGTAGTGTATGTTATGCTTTCACTGTGATTCATTTGCCACTCAATAATAAAATGCTTTTTAGATTTTTATTTTGTAATTATGTATGACAGAATGGATCAATTGGAAATATTGAGAATGAAAAATGCTCTTAGCTACCCCAGGATCAATACCATATAATTTCCATATCAGCTCAAACTAATGGGTTTTCTATTGGCTTCTGTTAGGGGTGCTAATCTCCCTGGCACCATTTTAATGGTTACATTTACGTTTCTGTGCAAAAAGCAGTCTATTTAAAAACTGAACCGCTTGCCTCCCAACAGTCTGAAAATATAAAAATAAACATGCTAATCTCCTGCCATGCATATTGCGCAAGCCGTAGCAACTCCCTCAGTAGTATAGGAAGCCATATTCCCCTCCTCTCGCTAATAAAGACAGCTTGGAGAACACTTCAACTGCCCCTCCCCTCTTAGTTGACTGGCTTTGAAACGTCAATTAGGGGGCAAATGCTAAGCTAAGGGCCACTTATGAAGTTCCCATGCCTTTCTCAGTCATGTCTCTTCGCACAAGACTCATTCCTTCTCGGGCACGCACGACTGAGATATATTATGCCATAGGTGGAGAAAAAATTTATTTGGTCCTCATCTACGACTAATGGAGCAACACGGAACTAAAACAAAAAGACCCCCTGGGTGCCGTGGCAAACCGTGATCTCGTACAGTCCGCTGCATAAACATCAACTGTGATGCTGCAAACGCTTCCGTTTTGGCCCAGCAACACAAGACACAAAGGCAGACATTTTTTTTTTATGGACAAAGTAACTGAAATGGCAGAGGTGAGCCGGACACAGGCTGCCATTCAGGCAAAATGAATGTTCGGTGGAAACTAGACCACCTACGCAGACCCACTGAGAATATGCAATGAGGGAGAGAAAGAGAAATGGCACCAGAAAAATGTCCCGCAACGGCCAGAGTGCATAAAGCACCATATATTTGGAAATAAGCATTACATTTCAAAGACCATATCCACAACTATTGACATTTTTGTTAAAGCATAATCCACCATGGGGGGACTAAAACGCTAAAGTTCATATAACTGTCAGGAGGCTTTAACTCTGAATAATACTGAGATTTTATGGAAGTGAACGAGCTCAGACAGAGCCAGTCGAAGCTGCCTTGGACACACGCTGTGAAACGCCCCAACCCAAAGCAGCCATGAGGGAGCCTTCAGGGGTGAAAGGACCCAAGATGCTCTCCCAGTTGGGCTAGCCTTATTTAAGACCTGGGATGACCTCAGCCTGGGGGACTGCCCCATCTTCAAGGCTGTCTTCTCTGAGGAGTCCTCCTGACGCCCAATTCCTTGTGGCTTTACGCTCTGCCTCACACTGCGGCGTGCTTCATTTGGGCTGCTGACCCATAGGATGACAGGGGAGCTCTCAAAGAAACTTCTCCAGGGCTCATCCAACTTTCTTGGATAGAGAAGTAAAGCAATGTTCGGTTCATTTCTGTTCAAAGATTGATCATAAGAACTAGTTGTTCAAATCCTGATGACGAATTAGGAAGTGTACTGAAGAATGTTTAGGGAATGTTTATGGGTCCTGTTTAAAATGATTATGCAGCCTCGTCAGTGGCTTGCCAAAAACGTGAAAAATGTTATGCATCCTATGATCCTACCACTCCAAGAGAAATAAAAATACATTTTCATATCGATTTCACCCTCAAACATTTGTAATTAACCTGTCTCTGATTTACTTTCAAACTAACGACAATGTCTGGAATTATCCTGAAATGGGTGGACTTTGAAAGTTCTTATTGGCTGATATATACTACAAATTATATATAAAAATAAACTCAGACATTGACTTCTAGGGCTGGCGCAATTACCGTATAACCGACAGTTATGGATGAAGACAGTCATGGGGGGAGACGAACAGCTGACAGACGGGACGGTCGGGCATTCGTATAGTTGAGTCCCTTTCTATGGTAACATCGAATCTTAACGTGATGAAACTTAGTTGCTCCTTGGTGAAAGGGAGAGGCTATACGGACACGCCTGGTGCCAAAATTGATGTCGTATGTCGCGCAGTTGACAGTCCAGTGGAGACAAATGGATTCGGTTTAGTCAGTTGTCAGTCGTCCTGATGAGCCTAGTTTATGCTGGCTAGCTGGCAACAACAGCAGCATGGCGCTAATTAAAACATGTAAAATAAATGTATATTTATTTCGATGGGAGAGGGAGAAATAACTTGTATTGGTCACCATCTGGATGTCACCGTGACATGCCAATTAGCTAACGTAACGACAAGCCAGTGTGGATGACCAGTGCAACGGTGTTGTAATTCCCAATGGGCAGCAGTTGCTTCACCGGGCAGCTGTATCACATGTCGCTGGCGGTAGCTACGTGGCCAATTTGTTCCATCCCACTTGATTATATTTAGAGTATGAGAACATCCTACACGAGAAATAATGTATAATGTTGGTAGTAACCATCTGGATGTCACTGTGATACGGTCTACTGCTCAATGGGAAGAGTTTGCTGCAAGCCGGCAACACACAACAACATGGGGCATGGTTTCCTTCTCTCCTGCTTGCCAAACACTGCTGTCTTGCAATAGGGAGAGGGAAGTACCTATATAGTGTCGCCAATATCAGGCCAGTGTGACAGCTAAAGCACATTTATTGTATTGATTTACATCTAATGTACAACTATGGCGAAGTCTCCAGTTTTGTAAAATAAAAAAATAAAAAGAATTACTCAGATAAAAACTGAATGATTCTGAACACTCCCAAGTCCCAACTTCGGCAGACAAGTTTCAAATTCTCGCTGATGTTCCTAGCCACAAGCAAACTAGCTAGCTGGGGAGGGGTTTTGTCTAGAAGGGATACCGCTTTTATCAAAATATACTTTTCGTAGCAGGTTTAGGAGAATTAACGTATCAGGTTAGGATAATTAGGTTAAGGTTAGGAAAAGGGTGAGGTTTAGCTAAAATCCCCCCCAAAAATGTACTTTTGATGTCAATTTGACAAAAGCTGTATTTACCTAGACATTACCCTGGGGAGGGCTGAACTGAATACGTTCGTCCACTCAACTCTCGCTGTGCGACTTCCGTCATAAATTTTGGGCACCAGGCTTGTCCGTATAGCCTCTCCCTTGCGGAAACAAGCAAGGTGTTGTAGCGAACAAGTCTTCGGTTGCCTAGGCAATGCATCCCACAATCCAGCAGCAGAAGAATACATTGAAATAGAATGAATAGAATGGCTTGGAACCTCTACCCCTGGCAATTTGACTGGTAAACTCATGGGTACACTCGCAATGGCTGTCTGGTGTTGTGATGCAATCTTTCCAGGGTAATGTAGAATGTTCATTTAAATTATGCAAAATGATGCAGCTCATGCAATGCAATGTATTTTTTGTAATGTCAGTTGAGTTGAATGATACAATCACAGCCCATATTGATGGGTACACTTGTACTTCCTGCTTTGCTCCTATGGGTACACTTGCAATGGCTGCCAGTCCACCCATCCTGCCATCATTGACTTGAATGGGGACACCTGTTCCATTAAGTCTATTTCTATGGCAGCGGAGGAGAGGAGAAAATGTATGGAGAAAAAAATGTATTGTTACAGTTATTACGGAAACCGCTGCCATTTGGATGGCTAATTACCGTTATCCAAAATTCCATGACCGTCACAGCCCTATTGACTTCCAATGCCAAGCTTGAAAAACAAAAATGCAGAGGCCTTCATTACGAATTCTTATAGTTTATTAATCTATATTAATTAATTAATTAATTAATTAATTATTGGTCATTTAGCAGACGCTCTTATCCAGAGCGACTTACAGGAGCAATTAGGGTTAAGTGCCTTGCTCAAGGGCACATCGACAGATTTTTCACCTAGTTGGCTCGGGGATTAGAACCAGCGACCTTTCGGTTACTGGCACAACGCTCTTAACCACTAAGCTACCTGCCGCCCTATCTATACGGGTGACCAGAAAATGTATCAATCTGCACACCCCTATAATGCCTCACATTGGTCAAGTTAGTTTTGCATGGCCCGGGTGGGATGAGTTTGCTAATATTTGACCATTCCATTGGTCCTTAAGTTAAATGTCTACCCACTCGGGGCACCAGGCCATGCAAAACGAACTCCACCATTGGTTCACACAATGGGAGCATCCTTGTGTTCATTCACATTAAAATACATTAATATTTCAACCTTCTGAGCTCATCCCCCCCAATACTAAAGTTTGGTAGCTGTCTAGACAAGCAAGACGGTGGGTGCTAAACCGTCAAAGCTGAGATGTATTTTTCCTTTAATTGAAGTCAAAGTTTGTTCAATGAATTAGCATGGACATTCTGTACCTAAGTACATTTCGGTAAGAGTTCACACGTTCTAAAGAGGAAATCAACATAAATGGTAATGCTTTAACATGGTCAATGACGGTAACCGCGTTGACCGCTCACTCCCGCCCGGATCAACCGCAATGCCAACCACCTGTTAATCACAATGACCAAAGGTGGTCAAAATAAGGAGCCAAACCAAAAGTACAAAATTATGAAAATAATACATTATAAACAAATAAGAAAATTCAAGGCTCAGATGAAGAGTTCAGAGTTCATTAGTGGTGGTGCTGATGGTATTGTTCTGGCGTATACTATAGTGTCAGTTCTGAGAGTATTCCTTGGTTGAGAGTTTAGTGACGATGCGCTCCAACTGGAAGTTACCCATCTCTTAGTACTGCGGGGCGATTTTCACCAGCCTTGGAAAGGAGACAAGTAAACATATTAGTCATGATGTGTCTGCAATTTTGTGTGTGTGTGTGTGTGTGTGTGTGAGAGAGAGAGAGAGAAGGCTTTCTCACCCACGTTCGCACACAGAGACTGGCGCAGACACTTCATCCGACACATAAATGTGCATGGACACACAGACAGAAGAACAAAGACATAAAGAGACAAACACCCACGTAATCCAACAATGCGCACACTCAGTCACACACACATACACACTCAGTCACACACACATACACACTCAGTCACACACACATACACACTCAGTCACACACACACTCAGTCACACACACACACACACACACTCAGTCACACACACACACACACACTCAGTCACACACACACTCAGTCACACACACACACACACACACACACACACACAGTCACACACACACACACACTCAGTCAGTCTCACACACACACAAACACACACTCAGTCTCACACACACACACTCAGTCACACACACATACACACTCAGTCACACACACACACACACACACTCAGTCACACACACACACACACACACACTCAGTCACACACACACACACACACACACTCAGTCACACACACACACACACACACACACACACACACACACACACACACACTCAGTCACACACACACTCAGTCACACACACACTCAGTCTCACACACACTCAGTCTCACACACACACACACACACTCAGTCTCACACACACACACACACACACACACTCAGTCTCGCACACACACACACACTCAGTCTCACACACACACACACACTCAGTCTCACACACACACACACACACTCAGTCTCACACACACACACACACACACACACTCAGTCTCACACACTCAGTCTCACACACACACAAGGAGCACGCTGACTGCTTGTTCACACACGTGTACACACATTCTCACAGGTCTAGAGGAATATCGGAGCAGGCGGGTTGACTGCAGGCAAGCACATAGAGACACACACATAGCAGAATCTAGGAGACTACTGACTATAGGCATGCACACACACACACTAGACAAGATGGATCTAGGGCTAGGTAGACAGTAAGCTGCTGACAGCTTACCAAATCTAATTTTATTGGTCGCGTACACATTTTATAGAAAGGTGCAGCGAAATGCTTATGTTTTTAGCTCCAACAGTGCAGTATACCTAACAATGCAAAACAATACACACAAACACTTTTTTTTTAAATATTCATGATTTATAAATACCACTCTGGTTTGATGTCGGTGCAGGTGTGGATGTAGTTCTTGGTGGTCAGCACAAACTCATTGTACATCACCCACTCCGGCTTGTGGTCCAGCACAGTGGAGGGGTGCAGCTGGGCCACCTGGTTGTCCTTCACCGTCAGGTAGTGGCCCATACGCTCCAAATGGGCTACCTGGTAGACACACAGACAGATAGGAATAAGTAGGCTAGATATTAGCTACACAGGGCACACACTAACTACAGTACATTTTCAAGATCACTTCCACAGACATTTATTATCAAACACATACAGTACAGTACATCATAAAGTCCATATCCGCACAGAAATGCATTTTCAACACGTTTTTTTGACCGAGCGTTCCTGCTCTGTAGGTTTGTTTTCTAGCCTGAAGCAATGCAACAATTGAACAGTTATTACTATGTAGGATCCTTGCTGCCAAATGTCACTATTATGGTTAAACTACACTGACCTCATGGACTGTAGTACCTACCTTAATGTACAATGAACACAATCAATTCCACAGAAAAGGGTGGAAAGCGGCAGCTCTAGGCATAGGTGATTGAAACTTCAGCGGAATTCGTCAAGTTAAGAGGGCATTGAGTTTTTTTTGTTTCCTTTCGTGGTACTTTAATATGCAGACGACGGCTGTTGCGATTAACCAGGGCAATCAGTCTCAATAAAGACCTCGCCGAACAAAGACGTGCGTTCTAACGCCCCTAAACTGCAACATGAGCTACAAATTTGTCTTTGTGATAAAGGTTAATGTTGACAAATATTTAAATATTAATGTCGTAATTCAACTTGTCAGGTCGCATGTTTTCAGGTTCCCTCCGGAAATGGACTTTCAACAAAATGTCATTTATTTTCCCTGAGTGGGCAGCAAATTGACTTGATTTCTTATTATGTGTTTAACTGGTAATGCCTGTGTGTATACCTAGGGCAGGCTATCCATTACAATAAATATCTTGACGTGTTGTGTTACAACGACTGATATGGATTTATTTGAAGGCCGATACCGAATTTCTTTGGGGAGGTCAAGGAGGCCGATGTCTGATATTTTATGCCGATATTCAATATCATTAGATTAGAACATTGTGATGACAACATTTTCCAGAGATTAATCAATTTTGAAATAAAACGAATGTGACTGTTTTTACTAATCTAACTGCATATCAACATAATGGTATTCATTTTATTTGAATGGTAAATCTCTATTGATAAACTGGGTAAATCAAGACGTACAGTGCATTCGTAAAGTATTCAGACCCCTTGACTTTGTTCACATTTTGTTACATTACAGCCTTATTCTACAATTGATGAAATCGTTTTTTCCCCCTCATCTATCTACACACAATACCCCATACTGACAAAGCAAAAACAGGTTTATAGAATTTTTTGAAATATTTCATTTACATAAGTATTCAGACCCTGTACTCAGTACTTTGTTGAAGCACCTTTGGCAGTGATTAGAGCATTGAGTCTTCTTGGGTATGGTGCTAGAAGCTTGGCACACCTGTATTTGGAGAGTTTCTCCCATTCTTCTCTGCAGATCCGCTCAATCTCTGTCAGGTTGGATGGGGATCGTTGCTGCACAGCTATTTTCAGGTCTCTCCAGAGATGTTCGATCGTGTTGAAGTCCGGGCTCTGGCTGGGCCACTCAAAGCATTCAGAGACTTGTTTCCGAAGCCACTCCTGTGTTGTCTTGGCTGTGTGCTTAGGGTCGTTGTCCTGTTGGAAGGTGAACCTTCGCCCCAGTCTGAGGTCCTGAGCGCTCTGGAACAGGTTTTCATCAAGGATCTCTCTGTACTTTGCTCCGTTCTCCCAGTCCCTGCTGCTGAAAAACATCCCCACAGCATGATGCTACCACCACAATGCTTCACCGTAGGGATGGTGCCAGGTTTCTTCCAGACGTGACGCTTGGCATTCAGGCCAAAGAGTTCAATCTTGGTTTCATCAGACCAGGGAATCTAGTTTCTCATGGTCTGCTCCAGACTAAGACTGGAGCAGACCACTCTCAAGACACTCCTCTCTCACACGCAACAGTGTGTCAAGAAAGAGAAATACCAGTCATTTAACCCAGTTAACGTTTTGGCAGCCAATCAGCATACTTTGCGTTATGGTTTATATATAACAAATAAAGTTTTAGGGTAGCGAAGTGAGGTTACATTCAGTCACAGAAAGCTATTGTAACCTATTTAACTTACTTCATACTGGATGCAGATACATACAAATGGTATCCATGAGTTCATCTGACTCTGGGGAAATAGATAAAGGGCTTTATTGCTTCCCACAGTTGTGTCAAGTTGGCTGGATGTCCTTTGTGTGGTGGACCATTTTTGATACACACAGGAAACTGTTGAGCGTGAAAAACCCAGCAGCATTGCAGTTCTTGACAAACTCAAACCGGTGTGCCTGGCACCTACTACCATAACCCATTCAAAGGCACTTAAATATTTTGTCTTGCCCATTCACCCTCTGAATGGTACACATACACAATCCATGTCTCAATTGTTTTAAGGCTTAAAAATCATTCTTTAATCTGTCCTCTCCTCCATCATTGAAGTGGATTGAAATAGTGACATCAACAAGGGATCATAGCTTTCACCTGGATTCACTTGGTCATTCTGTCATGGAAAGAGCATGTTTTGTACACTCGGTGTATATTGAAGTCAGTGGTACAGCGGCTTGCGAAAGTTCACACCACCCTTGGCATTTTTCCTATTTTGTTGCCTTCCAACCTGGAATTAAAATTGATTTTTTTGGGGTTTGTATCATTCGATTTACACAACATGCCTACCACTTTGAAGATGCAAAATATTTTTTGGGGTGAAACAAACAAGAAATAAGACAACAAAAAGTGTGCATAACTATTCACCCCCCCAAAGTCAATACTTTGTAGAGCCACCTTTTGCAGCAATTACAGCTGCAAGTCTCTTGGGGTATGTCTATAAGCTAGCCACTGGGATTTTTGCCCATTCTTCAAGGCAAAACTGCTCCAGGTTCTTCAAGTTGGATGGGTTCCGCTGGTGTACAGCAATCTTTAAGTCATACCACAGATTCTCAATTGGATTGAGGTCTGGGCTTTGACTAGGCCATTCCAAGACATTTAAATGTTTCCCCTTAAACCACTCGAGTGTTGCTTTAGCAGTATGCTTAGGGTCATTGTCCTGCTGGAAGGTGAACCTCTGTCCCAGTCTCAAATCTCTGGAAGACTGAAACAGGTTTCCCTCAAGAATTTCCCTGTATTTAGCGCCATCCATCATTCCTTCAATTCTGACCAGTTTCCCAGTCCCTGCCGATGAAAAACATCCCCACAGCATGATGCTGCCACCACCATGCTTCATTGTGGGGATGGTGTTCTCGGGGTGATGAGAGGTGTTGGGTTTGCGCCAGACATAGTATTTTTCTTGATGGCCAAAAAACTCAATTTTAGTCTCATCTGACCAGAGTACCTTCTTCCATATGTTTGGGGTGTCTCCCACATACCTTTTGGCGAACACCAAATGTGATTGCTTATTTTCTTCTTTAAGCAATGGCTTTTTTCTGGCCACTCTTCCGTAAAGCCCAGCTCTATGGAGTGTACGGCTTAAAGTGGTCCTATGGACAGATACTCCAATCTCCGCTGTGGAGCTTTGCAGCTCCTTCAGGGTTATCTTTGGTCTCTTTGTTGCCCCTCTGATTAATGCCTCCTTGCCTGGTCCGTGAGTTTTGGTGGGCGGCCCTCTCTTTGCAGGTTTGTTGTGGTGCCATATTCTTTCAATTTTTTAAATAATGGATTTAATGGTGCTCCGTGGGATGTTCAAAGTTTTGGATATTTTTTTATAACCCAACCCTGATCTGTACTTCCCCACAACTTTGTCCCTGACCTGTTTGGAGAGCTCCTTGGTGCCGCTTGCTTGGTGGTGCCCCTTGCTTAGTGGTGTTGCAGACTCTGGGGCCTTTTAGTACAGGTGTATATATACTGAGATCATGTGACACTTAGATTGCACACAGGTGGACTTTATTTAACTAATTATGTGACTTCTGAAGGTAATTGGTTGCACCAGATCTTATTTAGGGGCTTCATAGCAAAGGGGTGATTACATATGCACATGCATATTTTCCGTTATTAATTTTTTTGAATTATTTGAAACAAGTAAATTTTTTCATTTCACTTCACCAATTTGGACTATTTTGTGTATGTCCATTACATGAAATCCAAATAAAAATCAATTTAAATTACAGGTTGTAATGCAACAAAATAGGAGATTTGTTTTGTTGAAAAAAATAGATATTTTTTTGAAAAAAACAAAAATATTTTTGCAAGGCATTGTACCTTGCTATTTTCCAATTTCAAAACATTGACTAGGTGTAGCTGACTAATCTACATACTCCACTCTGGTCTGTGATGTTTTGGGAACATGTACAAGGGACTTGCCAACTGCCTAAAGGTCAAAACCAAGTGCTGTGTTGTTGGGGGACAAGAGCATGACGACACATACTGAGACAGAACCCTCTGGGCCCTTTCTCTGTTTGGCCGGTGAGCACTGACCTGCATGAAGAATCTGGTGACCAGTGCTCTGTGAATGTTGATATAGTAGTCTATGCTGGTGAACTCTGTGCTCCAGCGGGGCAGGTTGAAGCGGTCCATGATCCGGGACAGCTGCTGGCGCACGTTGTCAGCGACCGGTAGTTCACAAAGTTGTCGTAGCACCACTGTGTCGACTCGTGGTCTGTGAGAGGCGAGAGATTTATGTTAGGTGACATTAAGGTTGGTTTATCAGAGACAGATTTAGTCTAGTCCTGGGTTTCAAAGCATGCTCAATGGACATTTAGTGAAGGACACGTACTCTGTTTGAAGGCGTGGTAGACGTTGAGGATGAGAGGAAGGGCATGGAAAGGGTCTGCAACCCCCCAAAAAGTATATTTACTCAAACTGGTTGGCAAAAGGGCATCTATGAAGCTAGCATGCATCTGACTCAAACTCTTTAAGCAGTGGTGCAGAAAGAGACCAAAGGCAAAGTGTCCTCCACCACTCGATCTGGGCCTGAGCACTTAAGAGAGGGAAAACCGTGGTCTTGCACCCAAGCGGAAAAGCACTCGTACATCAAAAGGCTGCATCAAACACCTCTCGCCCTACCACAACTTGCTCGGAGCTGCCTCACGTCAAAACATGCTCCATCGTGGACTTAACCGATGAAAGTTGAGTGTTTATCGAACCCCTGCACTTGGTTGCCTGGGCGATGCAAGGCCTAGTTTCCACTGCTGACTCGGTAGTGAACTCAGCAGAAAACCAGGTTCCCTGACACACCCGTTATAAATGTGTGGCATGTCCAAACAGCTAGCTAGTTAAATTTCCTTTCCCCCCGTTCAAAAGTATCGGATTAATCTCAATGAGGAGCATTCTGCTTTGGCAAGCCTAAAGTGCAATTACTGCCAGAGCACATTGGTGCTGCTCAGACTAGACTATAAACTCATTAATTTACTGTAGACACACATTTTTCCTGCCTGACAAATATTAACTGACTGACACTGCCAGCTCCTTTCACTAGCCCTCTTTTTTTCTACTTCACTGTGCCCAGTGGGGTCATGGGCAAACCTTCATGCCGTCTCCCATCTCCATGCAGGGAGCAAAGACTAGTCTACGTTTGTAGTAGGCAGATCTAAAGCACCATTTGAGATTATATTTGCTATCAGCCGCAGTCAAATCACATTCATCAACATCGTTATTGAGATTACACCTCATTTACACAGCTCTTGTTGGAGCTTATTGTAGTCTATCAGTGCTAGAGAGATGGCATTGCTACACTGACAAAGAGGCATGGTTTTACATTCTTTCCCGGACAAATATATGTTTTTCTAATGAAACAGCTGGTGTGAAATGGACCAGCTCTAGACACCATACAAACAAATCTAGTGTCAACAAATGTTGTGTCTGCAAACCCGAGCACATCAAAGTCTTGGGTTTCAGGAGAAGTTCATGACTTAAACATATCATCTAATTATCTCCAAAAACTGTCTGGTCAAATAGACTAAACAAGAAAGGGGTCAAGGGTGAAGGGGAGCATCGTCTAGACAACTAAGGGAAAAATAAGTAGCAGGTGCAGATCACTGAATCTATATTTTGTGGGGGATGGAGGGCAAATTTGCCATGAACATACAACTTTTCACAAGAAAACATATCACCTACAATAGTGACGGAGGCTTGTGATTGGCATACCGCACTTTCTCCCTGACTATTACCTGACAGCATGGCTGTGATGGACATGATCTTGTTGGAGCAGTTGAATAAATAAGGAATTGGAGAGAAAACAAAGGAAGAATAAGGGATGGCAGAGGTGGTAAGGGAGAAAGAAAAGAACAGAAGGAAAGCACCTCTCTGTGTGTGATGGCCGTTACCCTGGACGGCAACTTTGTAACCATGGCAGGGAGGCTCATTTTTCATCCTCCGCTCCCCCGATTCAAAACAACTAATGGAATTACAGGGGAACCCTTAACTTAATGCATCAACACAAGGCTCCCAATGTTTGGTTAAAATATTTTTCCCCAAGATGCAATTATTGACCTTTGGCTCGGGAGAATTGAAGCCTAATGATCAGTTGCATGTTAACTGAAAATTAGCTTCGGCTTCAGCTGAGGGCTGTGTTGTTCACTTTCATCTCTCTCAAATAAGGAAGAAAAAAGCCTTTTTCAAAATGCAAGGGGGTATATTCTTATGATGAACAAATATCGATTTGGGGCATCAAACCTACTTTTTATACAAACGTGAGAGCTAGCCACATCACTTCCCACTGGGCACGGATGTCAATTCAACGTCTATTCCACGTTGGTTCAACGTCATTTAAACAATGTTGATTCAACCAGTGTGTGTCCAGTGTGTTACTACACCAATGGCTTGTGGCTGACCCACTCCTTGTGGACGAAATCTGATTTTGCAGTAACATAATGAACAAGTGTGGAAATGCAATCTATTCATGGCTCACCTAATCAGAAATAAATATTGACCGCCTCAATACACGAGAATCAGATATATTAACCAAGGGCCAAATCAATGGGACTAAAGGCTAAAGGTACATTAAACTCACATTGGCTTTGAAATGTACTACTCTGCAAATGTCACGAAGCAAATGAATCCCACCCAGGGCTGGTCCTTCCTGTAAATCGCTACTGATTTCGCTTAGATTTTCCATATGGGTTCACGCCTCTGTGCTTACTGAGTGTGGAGCGAGGCAGGTCGACAGAGAAATAGACAGGCCGTTCGTGTGCTCCCTGGTTACAGGGTGGAAATAGAGTTTCTTAGTTAAGATTCAGGCCCAACTCGAATATAGCCTAACACAGACTAAAGGCCAATGGCCTTCATGCCTGGGTTCTTTGAAAACCCTTGATAATCCTAGCCCACTCCTAGGTATCACCCTGCCTGTACGTTTCATGACATGGTGGCAGGTAGCTTAGGTGGTTAAGAGCGTTTAACCAGTACCGCAAGGGTCGCTGGTTTCTAATCCCCGAGCCGACTAGGTGAAAAATCTGTCTGATGTGCCCTTGAGCGAAGGCACTTACCCTAATTGCTCCTTAAGCGCTCTGGATAAGAGCGTCTGCTAAATGACTTATTTATTATTTATTACATGCAGCCACAGAGGAGAGCAGCAGCTCAATGACAATGTTCCCACTTTGCCTTAATAACAGTAGCACAAACCCAAGTCACGATTTAATTATTTTAATGTGCCCAAATGTATGATAAATTAAAACAAATGGCTGATGGGAAGCATCCCCCACACCATAATATCATAATATAAACACAACATGTAAAGTGTTGGTCCCATGTTTCATGAGCTGAAATAAAAAATCCCAGAAATGTTCCATACGCACAAAAAGTTCAAGGAAGCGTTTAATCTCTCAAGCCCTTTGATGAGCAGACGTTTAATTTGTGTGTGTGTTCCCATGTCTCTTAATGAAGCGAACACCCGGACAATCAAACAGGGCTACAGGCTAAGGAGAAAGACGTGTTCCAATCATGCCCCTCTACCTGGAGATCCAAATCCATGGCTCTCTTTAACCACATCCAGAGATTCACTTGGCTGAACCCACAACTCCGGCATAGCCATCCTGGGAGTGGTTCTTCTGCACTGCATGTCAAATTGACCTGTGTGCCAGCGAGATACAAAGCCTTTTCTTGGAGGAGAAGCTTTCTAGTCCAATCAGCTCGTGTTCCCGGGGCGCTAAGCAGCTAGTTAGACAGATCCAGCGCCTCCACTGGCAGCGTGTAGAACTTCCATATATTCCATAATATAAACGCAACATGTAAAGTGTTGGTCCCATGTTTCATGAGCTGAAATAAAAAATCCCAGACATTTTCCATACGTTCAAAATGCGTATTTCTCTCAGATTTTGTGCACAAATTTGTTTACATCCCTGTTAGTGAGCATTTCTCTTTTGCCAAGATAATCCATCCACCTGACAGGTGTGGCATATCAAGAAGCTGATTTACACAGCATGATCATTACACAGGTGCACCTTGTGCTGGGGACCATAAAAGGCCACTTTAAAATGTGCTGTTTTGACAAACAACACAATGCCAGAGATGTCTCAAGTTTTAAGGGAGCGTGCAATTGGTATGCTGACTGCAGGAATGTCCACCAGAGCTGTTGCCAGAGAATTGAATGTTCATTTCTCTACCATAAGCTGCCTCCAACGTCGTTTTAGAGAATTTGGCAGTACGTCCAACTGGCCTCACAACCGCAGACCACGTGTAACCACGCCAGGACTATTTCTGTCTATAATAAAGCCCTTTTGTGGGGAAAAGTCATTCTGATTGGCTGGGCCTGGCTGCAGAGTGGGTGGGTGGGCCTATGCCTTCCAAGGCCCACCCATGGCTGCACCCCTGCCCAGTCATGTGAATATCCATAGATTAGGGCCTAATTAATTTATTTCAATTGACTGATTTGCTTATATGAACTGTAACTCAGTAAAATCTTTTAAATTGTTGCATGTTGTGTTTATATTTTTGTTCAGTATAGATGAATAAGGTAATTATTCCTTCCCCTCATTTCCAGTTAGACTAAATGAACAGGGCTTGAGTGGGCCGGCGGGGGACTAAAGCTTACGTGCTGGGAGACGTATAGCAGTGGGAGAGTGGGTGGCGGAGGAAGGGGGAGTAGGTCAGTCACGTTTCACCCGCAGAATATAAAGAGAAGGCAATAGCCAAGGTGATACCGGGGCTACTGATGTAACCAAGGTGATACCTGGGCTATTGATGTAACCAATTTCATTCTCAAAATGGCGTTTGTCGCCACGGATGGGGAGAGATGGGTTTAATCTCGGAGGGGAGATGAAAACTGTATTAAGGTGGAGAGAGAGGGGGAGTGTGTGTGGGCTTGAGGCTAGGTAGAGAGAGACCGAGGGAAGTGGGGTTCTCCTTGGGGAGAGTAAGAACACACACGGTGCATTGGCTCTAGGGCTGCTGGGAAGGAAGCCAGTGGCCTGGCTTGGTGTCTCTCGAGTGTGACATTGGGACGAGCCAAAGAGCCTCTCTGTGTTTTGTCCAGGCTCTAGCCCAGTACGAATGAACAGGGAGCGCTTGGAGAAGCGATAGCCCAAACACACCGACTCACCGGCCACAAACTACTCCTCCCAGCCACTGCACCATGTACCCACAGAGCAGATAGAAACAGACTAGTTTTGACAGTGGAGTTTAACCACCTATTCTGACAAAAGAGCAAAGAACCACAAGGTCCAATGTGACCATTCTGCTAAATTATTTTTGACTCTACAACTACTCAGAATGTGATTTTTCACATTTTCATTTTCTCTTCAAAAAAGTGACATAGCTGACCCAGATTGGGTGTCATACATCAAACATCTACAATTGAACAAAAGGTTTTGTGGACTTCAGAGCAACAGTTTCTACCGGTCCATGTCTGTTCTTAAGACCTTAACAGATTCTGTGATCAAAGTGAGACATATTCACCATGATGCTATTTATCAAAGCCCACAATTTACAACTTGGGGCCCTATTCAATCAATCTCCGTAACAGGGTTTCCAGGATGAGTCAAGAACATTAATCTTTTTTTCTGTGAAAATAATGGTTTGGCTTTGTGATTTACAGCAACTTATAACATCACTCTGTATACACACACACTGAGCAGCAATAATGTTAATTTAGCCTCGACTGAAATTGATTGGATAGGGCCCCTAGTATCACAAAAACAAGATGTATCCCTTTTGTCTAAATGCAATATAAGACCTCTTACCTGGTGGGTCCATGAAGTCAAAATGTACCAAATCGTTGGTACCTAGCTTCTTGAGCTGCAGCACAACCGAACCCAGGTTGGACCTAAAAATCTCAGGATACGTTTTGTCCTGTCACAGAGGAAGAGGAGGGGAAACCGGAGGGGAGGTGTTCAAATCAAAACGAATTAGTCAGGGTGCCGATATCTCGTACGTCAAAGTGAACAGAAAATGGAAGTCTGGGGTCGTTTTGAAGGGCTATTTAACTTGTTTTCAAATCCCTCTGCCAGGGATCACCAGTTGCCGGGATGTGAAAGAATTACCTTGTTAAAGTGGAGGACTGGGTCTTTCACCTGTTCATTTGTCACAGGGGGGGGTCTGTGTCACTGGCGCAGGTTATTAAAAAAAGCTGTGGGTGATTGGTGGGGAATCCAGCTCTCAGAGTGAAAAGGGCTGAATAAAGAAAAGGTGACTTTAGTTCTGGGTGGAAATACTGGATAACTGGGAATGGAGACCTTTCTAAGTACATACACTACCGGTCAAAGGTTTTAGAACACCTACTCATTCAAGGGATTTTCTTTATTTTTACTATTTTATACATTGTAGAATAATAGTGAAGACATCAAAACTATGAAATAACACATATGGAATCATGTAGTAACCAAAAAAGTGTTAAACAAATCAAAATATATTTATTTCTGAGATTCTTCATGCCCTAAGCTTTGAAGAATCAATCAGTTATTAGACATCAATTCATCTGGGAACAATGTGATTATTCTAGCTGTGCCACAACTAACCTGCATCTCAGTCTTGTAGGCCTTCTCTGTGTAGAGGCGGAAGCACTTCCCTTGGCGTGTCCTCCCGGCGCGGCCCGCCCTCTGCTGGGCCGAGGCTTTGCTGATGGCCTTCACCAGGAGAGACTCCACTCTGATATGAGGATTATACACCTGGCAGGAACAGCAAGGCGGACAGGTGCAGCATAGACTGAATTCAAATCTCTCTTTCATATACAAACACAGGTAGGGTAGCAGAAATCTGGGAAAGTTCAATAAATTCCCTGGTTTAACAGAAATCCTGGTTGGAGGATTGCGGATTTCCTGCCTATTCTCTCCTGATTCCAGGAACATCCAACCGGGATATCGGGGAAAACCAGGGAATTAATTGAACATTCACAGATTTTTGCAACTCTAAACACAGGTTCACTAACATCTAGAAAAGAGATGCGGCATAAGGGGCATCAAAGTTACGACCAGCGTTTGTGTGCAGGTTACAGGGGGACACACAGAGGACGAGACACTAACACATAAGCACACACACACAAGCACAAACACACGTGCACACACACACACACACACACACACACACACACACACACACACACACACACGTGCACACATATATGCACCCGGCGGATTGTGTGTATCATCTCTGATTGAGCCACATGTATGACTTGGCTCCGTGCTGGAGAAATGTCAGCGGAATTAATAACAGGCTTTTCCATCTCTGCTGCTGTCAGGTGCAGCGCTGCTCTGTTTATCTGGGGATTTTCAGGCAACAGAGGCAGATGATCGGAGGAGATTAGGCTGGGGGGGGCAGCATATCCGAGATCAATAACAAACACCACGCCGTCGATGGTCAGGGACGTCTCGGTGATGTCACTAGACACTACACTTCCGCAGCGAGCAAGCTGCAACATCTGAATTAATTAAGTCCTGCAGATACTGCTGTAGCCTATCGCAGACTCACTTTCTAATAGGATCCAACAGGAGAGTACCGTAACAGTTGCTGCAATCAAGTCGAATGAGGCGTCTGCAAACTGCGGCACGCTGCCTCGCTGCTGAGTGTCCCTTCCACAGGTATTAGCGCTGCCCTTTTTGGAGGGGTTGCCGCTGTCGGCTGGCAGCACGCTACCCGTCTCCACGAGATGTCATCCTCTCTCTTACAAAAAGCCCCTCCCACAGGTCTTCCAAATTACAACAAATAATTGATGTTATAGTTCCTTTTCCAGCAGGTGGCCTGAATTTAAAGTGCAGTCCTTTCAGAATCACTGTGTGCGTTCATCCTCCGAGATGATAGTTTGACAAGACTGGAGGAATTTGTTATAGAAAAAATGAAAGGAAATTCAATTCTGCTTCGCTTATGAGTAACAGTGCCTGTCGACTTCAACAAACAAAGCAAAACACGCAGATGATTCATGCGCCCCAAGGTGCAGGCGTCGTGTGGCAGCGCGCGAGCGCCCACCAAATTAAAATCCCTGACAATCAGAGGAGTGCTCCAAACCCACCTAGAAATAGGAGCTAAGTTGCATTAAAATTAATAAGCTTGGAGGAAATGAGTCACGGCAAATGAGGCTCTAAACTAGAGCAGGTGATAAGAGCAGAGGGTTTGTTTTCAACTGCCTCAAAGACAAGGAGGGGATTCGTTTCCCTACATCTTTTTCTATAATTCCCCATTTCCAAGTATAATTTTGGAAACATTACAGCTGGGTTTCTTTAAAAATATTATCTGGTTCTTTTGTATGCCTTTTAGCCAGTAGTTCTGAAAGTAGCGCTCACGAGCCAAAAGTGGCCCATGTACTGCGTCACATAATGTGCAGGTGCGTGCATCTTTCTCTCTCTTTACTCCCCCCCCCCCCGCTAGCTGTCACTCAAATGCGAGGGGCTAAAGCTCATTGGCTAGAACTCTAATTGCTAAGGGGCTAGCCCACATCGGGGGAAATGTAGGGAAAATGGCGCGGCACAGCTTTTAAAAAAACAGCCACTTTCAAACTAGAGATTTCGTGGATAATTTAGGTAATTCTGCTCATAGATTATGCATGTATGAGCTACACATTGACACATCCGGCCCAAAATGTGGGATGTTTAAAAAATATTTTTTTTGTTGCCAAAGTACCGGAGCATGTCTTTAAGAGAAATTCACCAGAGGCAGCACATAGTAATACAGAGCTTAGAAGAAGCTGAGGCGAGACGAGGAAGAAACAAAGCCTCAGCTATCAGAACGCTGCGTCAGTTGATCAAAGTACCATGGCCGGCTGCAACATACATTTTCTCTCAAATGTAATAGACAAATACTGCGTAAGGGATGGGAGAGAAAAAAACTGAAATTAAAAGCTGTTTGGGTTGTGGGAGCGACGCGAGCCGGGAAGCTACTGTGGAGTCGCGCGTCTCCCAGTCCCATATCTTTTTCTATTACAATTATCCCCTGTAGCAAGGCTGTCTATGAGAAATGACAGCTGAATCAGAGCACCGAAATAAAATGAGTCATATCACCCTATGGGTCTCTGTCAGAGTTTACACAAACGGGGGAGGAGGAGGAGGGGGAAAGGAGGAAGGCAGATCTGCAGCTGCTCTCACGCGAGCCTTGATCGCCACTGGGGGGGGGGGGGGGGGGGGGGGGGGGGTTCTCGTTATGTAACGGTGGAGCCTGATTGGCCCCAGAACCCATCGGACTATGTTGTGCATCATGGCACTGTCGGACAGTCTGAAACCTGCTGTAGTGGGAACTTCCACTCCCACTCCAATGTCTCAGCATAATGTATGGGGGTGTTAATAAAACTGCCTCATTGCATATTCCATTCACTGTCCCTTCCTTACATATAGAAATGCAAGACCAGTTCAACTGCAAGCACAAGAAAAATGCAAATAATGAAAGGTAGCTACTTGTATTACATCTGCAAAAGCATTGAACAAACACACTTCCTTGCAATGAAGGATAGGCGTGAGAAACATTTGCCAAAGGAAAAAAAAAAAGAGTATCCCATTTCTCTAACAAAAGTGATCACAAAAGTGAGCATTTGGGAAAAATCTGCATTTCGGTAATGCTTTCACATCTCTTGATCAAACACTTGCCGGTGCAAAAACACTTCTCTGTGAGTCGTCATCCATCCATACATGTCCAGAACCGATTCTGAGCACCGGCATAGCTTTGTTTCTTTTGGCTGTTTAAAGCTGTGAGCCTCAAAGGCTTTTTAAAATCCTACCTTTTAAGCGTGGATTTCTCTCCAGCCAAAAAATACCTGACTGTTTAGTTATTAATGCCTTGGGAGTTTTATTTCTGCTCAGCCCTTGGCCTTGTGTAATTCTGCCATCAGATGTAAAACCATTCTGTTTTGTATTCATGCTGAGGAGTGAGGCAGCAGTCAAAGACGGCCCATTTCAAACCTGTCAGAAGGCAGCCTGCCCAAGCCAACGGTCACTTTGATTATAGGGCCAGGACGACACCAGTATCGCAATATTTTTTCCATGGCAAAAATGAAAACACGAAGCGGACCATACTCTTTGGTCCTTTGAAAACCTGCTGTATGTAAATTATTGTGTGCTATAGCTTGGAAAATAAATAAATGTGACTCTGATTTCCTAAAGAAGTTAAATCCACTTTGTGTTTTGCATCCTTGCCACAATACTAACGAGTACCACGGTACTCAGTGGCGATTTTAGCATGTAAATCTTGGTGGGGCAAAATAAAATACAAATTGGGGGATGCATGCCAGCAAAGCCACAACACAACACAAAACAATACATTAATTGCACTATAACGGTGACAAACGGTGCCCACAAACTGTTAGGGCCTACATAAAGCTGTCCCAACAGCAGAGTCCCAACAGCAGTCCAAACACCTTACCACTGCTACACCTGGCTATCAGCGGAGCCTTGTCTGGCAGCGAAACAGTTCATTCAGCTTCATTTACTGCCTTAAAAAAAAAACATAGCTGATATGGCTGACTTGCTTGAACAAATGTGGTTTCTACTGATAATTGAGATGTACAAACTTTTGCATAAGGGAAAGACAAGCTGATAAGAGGCAATACATAATTTCGATTAAGACATTAATGAGTGAGCTAGGACGAACGTAGTCAATATAACTATTTGTTCAGCACTTTTGAAATGTACAGCGACAGAATTCAGAACATGGGCTGTTCTTACAGTGTTCTCCCTGTACACCAAGTCAGAACCGTTGGATAAATAAAGGGGGCATTTAAGCAGACAATGAAAGCTCTTAAAATATTCAATGATTACATTTCTCTAAAACAGGTTATAGGCTACAGGTGCACCACCAAGTCAGAACAGTAGGCGAAATTAAGAGGGGAAAATATACAAAATTATTAGGGTGAGGCACATGGGCTACTAACAGCTTACTACACAACATACACTTAGTATTACTTTCTGAGCTACAGTATACATATCTCCCTGGCATATTACATCAGAACTCTGAAAAAAACAAGGTTGAATCATGAAGACGTCAGTGACCTTCTGGTCGTAGCTCTAAAAAGAGGCCCGAGTTCCCGACTTACAATTCCGAGTTTGATGACCGTTCAAAACATATTTTCCTGAGTTCCCAGTTGTCTTGAACTCACTGAAGTCAGATTTCCCAGTTCTGAGTTAACAGTTGTTTTGAGTGTGGCAGAAATCATGCTGGATTGACAGCATGGCCAACGTTGAATGTTTATCATTTTAAGCTTGGAAAAGAGACCCTTAAACCGAGAATTGGGACCACACACCCACTCCACTGAATAGCAGGCTAGTGATTGATTTGCAATGCTTACAGTTAGCTACTGATTCCTTCCAAACCACTCATTGTTGAATTAGCGATTTCCAACTTGTTGTGTAATGTTTATGTCCAATGGACGATGAGCACCGATAAGTTTTATCTATAATTTATCTTCATTATTTCTCTTCATATGACAAGGATTAAAAAGGATTTGCCAGTAGATTGTTGACTTGATTCATGATGACTGCTAGCTAAGATTTTGAAAGTATGATGTTGACATGATCAGTCCAATCAAAGCTACTATAGATACAGTGGGGGGGAAAAAGTATTTAGTCAACCACCAATTGTGCAAGTTCTCCCACTTAAAAAGATGAGAGAGGCCTGTAATTTTCATCATAGGTACATGTCAACTATGACAGACAAAATGAGAAAAAAAATCCAGAAAATCACATTGTAGGATTTTTAATGAATTTATTTGCAAATTATGGTGGAAAATAAGTATTTGGTCAATAACAAAAGTTTCTCAATACTTTGTTATATACCCTTTGTTGGCAATGACACAGGTCAAACGTTTTCTGTAAGTCTTCACAAGGTTTTCACACACTGTTGCTGGTATTTTGGCCCATTCCTCCATGCAGATCTCCTCTAGAGCAGTGATGTTTTGGGGCTGTCGCTGGGCAACAAGGACTTTCAACTCCCTCCAAAGATGTTCTATGGGGTTGAGATCTGGAGACTGGCTAGGCCACTCCAGGACCTTGAAATGCTTCTTACAAAGCCACTCCTTCGTTGCCCGGGCGGTGTGTTTGGGATCATTGTCATGCTGAAAGACCCAGCCACGTTTCATCTTCAATGCCCTTGCTGATGGAAGGAGGTTTTCACTCAAAATCTCACGAAACATGGCCCCATTCATTCTTTCCTTTACACGGATCAGTCGTCCTAGTCCCTTTGCAGAAAAACAGCCCCAAAGCATGATGTTTCCACCCCCATGCTTCACGGTAGGTATGGTGTTCTTTGGATGCAACTCAGCATTCTTTGTCCTCCAAACACGACGAGTTGAGTTTTTACCAAAAAGTTATATTTTGGTTTCATCTGACCATATGACATTCTCCCAATCCTCTTCTGGATCATCCAAATGCACTCTAGCAAACTTCAGACAGGCCTGGACATGTACTGGCTTAAGCAGGGGGACACGTCTGGCACTGCAGGATTTGAGTCCCTGGCGGCGTAGTGTGTTACTGATGGTAGGCTTTGTTACTTTGGTCCCAGCTCTCTGCAGGTCATTCACTAGGTCCCCCCGTGTGGTTCTGGGATTTTTGCTCACCGTTCTTGTGATCATTTTGACCCCACGGGGTGAGATCTTGCGTGGAGCCCCAGATCGAGGGAGATTATCAGTGGTCTTGTATGTCTTCCATTTCCTAATAATTGCTCCCACAGTTGATTTCTTCAAACCAAGCTGCTTACCTATTGCAGATTCAGTCTTCCCAGCCTGGTTCAGGTCTACAATTTTGTTTCTGGTGTCCTTTGACAGCTCTTTGGTCTTGGCCATAGTGGAGTTTGGAGTGTGACTGTTTGAGGTTGTGGACAGGTGTCTTTTATACTGACAACAAGTTCAAACAGGTGCCATTAATACAGGTAACGAGTGGAGGACAGAGGAGCCTCTTAAAGAATAAGTTACAGGTCTGTGAGAGGCAGAAATCTTGCTTGTTTGTAGGTGACCAAATACTTATTTTCCACCATAATTTGCAAATAAATTCATTAAAAATCCCACAATATGATTTTCTGGAATTTTTTTTCTCAATTTGTCTATCATAGTTGACGTGTACCTATGATGAAAATTACAGGCCTCTCTCATCTTTTTAAGTGGGAGAACTTGCACAATTGGTGGCTGACTAAATACTTTTTTCCCCCACTGTATAACGTGATTTGACGTCATTTTATCTGTGGCCAATGACCTTGAGCCTTCTTGGATGGGCACTTCTTCTTGGATGGATGGGCTTCTAATGTAACTCTATGGCAGCACCCAAGGGCTTGAATTTTCGAGCTCTACCCTTAGACTTGGCAGTGACATAGTGTCCCCATGAGTGACAGAACACTAAGCCAATCACGGCGCAACTAGAGAACATTACCAACCCCTACACTCCGTATTTTCCGCTGGCTGCCCCACCACCACAGAAAGCACTAAGCTAGGCTGAAACACCTGCATTTTGGAGCTGCCTCACTCAAGAAAGCAAAGAATGGAGGCTTTATTAACTCAATGATAAAAAAAAAAAAAATAATTACATTGTTTGCAAAACTGATATGTAACACGTATTAATAGCAAAATAACATGCAAAACAGGCAACCCCAAAAAAAATAACGGTAACGTCCCTAATTTATTTGTTTACACCTCCCCCTCAGGAGGGATGTACATCTCGATCTGATTGAACACTAGAGGTGCATTGCAGGTGTCATCCCACAACATGTTTGAGTGGATCTCTTTGAACTAAGAGAATAAATCACCTATTAATACAAATGTAAACGCTGAAGACCAGAGCAACACTGGAATTAAACCAAAGCCAATTGCTTGGCAAAGTGTTCAAGACATTAAGAACGCTCAGCCACACTGTGTCCCGTAGGCCCCCCCGTGTAGCTCAGTTGGTAGAGCATGGCGCTTGCAACGCCAGGGTTGTGGGTTTAATTCCCACAGGGGGCCAGTATGAAAATGTATGCACTCACTAACTGTAAGTCGCTCCGGATAAAAGCGTCTGCTAAATGACTTAAATGTAAATGTGTGTAGAAATTGTATCTTCTTCGAGTCAATGACCCACACGACAAGCAATCTGGAACAAAGATGGCTAGCCTAGCACATACAGGCAGCTTGGGCCATCGCTCAGAAAATGTCTGCCAACATTTTCCCCAAGAGGAACGGTTGGCAAGGAGCAGCTCATGTCCTGTTCAAATGAAGCTGTGAAAGGTTCAAGGGGGTGAATCCTAGTAATGGGGGCAATATTATTTTTGGACCCAATATTATATCGATACTTTGACTCCAAGTAAAACATTTGTTTTTGCTAGGTAGCATTAGCTAGCGCTAGTCAGATGTACCTGTGCAAAAACTCAGGTATTTTTCATCCTATAGCTTGTTTTCCATCTTCTTGTTTTCAGCACTTTTATTTCCATGACTGATCAAAGCAAATTTTCTCATGCTCTCTCGTTTCTCTGCAGCAGACATAGTGATCAATGTTTGGAACATCAAATCGCAATAAAATCACAGTATCGAATCGTAATACATATAGAATCGCAATACATATCGTATCGGCACCTAAGTATCGTGATATTCTATCGTGAGGTCCCTGGCTTTATCTTTGCCAGGTCGCAGTTGTAAATGAGAACTTGTTCTCAACTGGCTTACCTGGTTAAATAAAGGTTTAAAAAAAGAAAAAAATGAAAATCCCATCCAATGACCTGTATGTCACGATTCAGTCAGTGCCCTAGCAGCTGCCACAGTAGCTAACCTGCCTCCTCACACTTCATAACCATATAGGAGGGCCTTTCATTGACTGCATTGATTCAGAATGTGTCTGGAGGCTGGGACCCATTACACAGATGAGCGCAGGCCCAGCTCCTTCCTGTCTGTCTGTCTGTTGGCTGTAAAGAGCATTCCAGACTTTTCATCAGCAATGTCATAAGAGCATCATCTCTGCACATTATTTCTGGGTTATTAACCGGCAGGGGGGCGAGCACTGTGGCTAACAGGGGCCATCTTTCACTCCAACACTCTGGGAGGAGCTGCCTGTTGACAAATAAAGACTTACCCTGATTGGTAGAAATGGAGGGCTCCTCTAATAATTTGGGCCCGGCCACATCAGCGGTACACTACTATGTTCAAGACCCTTGGCCAATTGAGCTTAGTGAGAGACCAGAATTTATGGTATTCATGAACCTGGCCATTGAGTGAAGGCAAGTCATATGGGGTTCAAGGATCATTGTGACCAACATGGTCATTCTAGCCTCACCTCCCTGTTTGTAATGTAGGGTTGAGACACCTCCAGCTCACCTCCATGTGACAATTGGGTTAAATGCGGAAGACACATTTCAGTTGAATGCATTCCGTTGTACAACTGACTAGGTATCCCCCTTTCCTTTTTCAGGCCAGGCAGATGGACAAGATAAAAAGGCTACATGAGAGGATGCATGCTATTCAGACACAGTCTGTAATCACCAGGGAGGAGAGAGCCAGTATGTTGGGAAGAGGTCCAGTATTAGGACTCCAAATGTACAGCCCAACCACCCAAAACACCCTCTCTCAATCTATTAAGACGTGGAGGTGGCGTCTCCTGGGACCAGGCGGTATCCAAACCACTTCCTGTGATACCCGTGCCCCTCTTTCATGTCAACATCCTTTAAACAGCGAGAGCAAACACGGGGATGATGTTTGAACTTTGGAAAAGATCCCCGGCCCGGCTTAGGCTAATCAAACTGTTGAGAATGTTGAGCTTCCTTTAAACACACAACACACACACACACAGCATTGGAGGAGAGAGATGAAATGCTGCCACACTGGGAGGGGGAGGGGGAGCGAGGTGTAGCGAGGGAGGCCGGAGCGAGCGTTTCACCCGCCTCGTCTCGTACAACAGGAAAAGAGGGGCCTGTCAAAACGCTGTGGATCAAACCACAGTGGTAGAAAGGTGATGACAGCATCCTGGCTAGGCTAGGCGTTAAACATTGTGAATGACTCAGTGGGAAAAAATAAGAAAAAAACGTTCTCGAGCGGTGACTTCATTATTCCAAATAAGTCATCAATAATCTTTCTGGGCTCCATAGAGGCAGCACACGATGAGTCATTCATCAAATCCCCGTCAGATGTTGGGGCAAATGTTTGCAAATTTACTGGCGGTGTGACGGGGTTTTGATATTCCGTCAGAATCCTTGCCAACGCCGTGGCCGTCCAGGTGGTTCCCCTGCTGTGATTATAGCGCGCCTGTTTGAACGCCGAGCTATAAACAAAACGCTGGACGTGTTTGCGGTCCGTATTAATTACAGAAACACGAAGACGAAGGGCCGTCCATTGCTCTGTGGGACCAGTTCAGGACAAGGGAACAAGAGGAGAGCAATGTTCACACATTCTATAGACAGGTTGGTTGTTTAGCAACAAAACCGACAGGTGCACAACTATGGAGCAAAACAGACGGGGTTGGCTTAGATCAGGTGTTCTTCGTCCGGGGCTACAACAAAAATGTGTTCTGTTGCGGATACTAGAGCACCGGAGTTGGGAAACACTGGCTTAGATTGTTGACAACATGTAAACTATATTTAGTCTCTAATGTTTATTGAAAACATAAATAAATGTGCACAATGAACACTTGTCTCTGAAATACATCGTTACAGTTGTTGGTTTGGTAGATAGCGAATTTTTGCCATATTAGCATAGACGTGACAGTCAAATCTCCTCAAAACAGACATGGTATGAAGAAGAAGATAAAGCTAGCTGAAACGAGCCACCTACGATTCCCCACGTCAGCTTCTTGTCATTGTTGCTATCTATCTAGCCATCCAGAATCACAACAACACACGGCCTTCTGCCCCATTAAAGGGTGCGCATCGTTTTCATGACGTTGTCAGCTAACCCATATATTGTAGATGAGCAACGTATTTTTTTTTTCCTGATCCGGTAATGCATGCTGCCTTACCCTGGCACTGAGAAGACCAGATGTTTTCAGAGAGAGCGAGAGAAGCTGTGCAAAACCAACAGAGGTGAAGAGGTAAAAAGACAGCGGCTCCGATGCTTTCCTTAGGCGCGGAGGGCATGAGTAATATCCACCCAAGTTATAATTTAGAGCAGGGAATCGTATGCTGACAAAAGCAGCATATGGTGTGTGAGTCAGTCCTGCACCAAAGCTGAAAGGGGAAAAAAAACTTTTTCAACCCCCCCCCTCCCAACCCTCTCCATATCCACCCACATACTTCCCTTGTCAAGTCTCTCTGCATCTCTCCATTTCTCGCTTTCTTTAGCCCTCTTGCTTTCTAACTCTCACTCGCTCTCCTCTCTCTCTCTCTCTCTCTCTCTCTCTCTCTCTGAAAGGGAGCTATTGAGTTGCTGGGATTGCTTCTGAGGAGTGATTCGAGCAGTGGCGGCATTTACCTTCCTCCCGATGGCTCCGTTGGGCTTGCGGGGCGGGGGCGTCAACGTCGAGTACAGCAGGATGATTTTGATGTCCCTCATATCGGGTCCCAGGTCGTCGATTTCCCTCTTGATGCGCTTGCAGGCCTCATCTATTTCCTGAAAGATGAAGCAGAATCATTCAAAGGGCAGGCAGGTGATGGAAGGCTGTCGAGCAGCAGCGTTTGGGCACACAAACAGTCACCTGGGGGCTTGGTCTGAATAACATCAGGAGAGAAAGGGGAGAAGAATGTCTGAAGAGTAGAGGAGGGGAGGGGTAGAAAGGAGAAAGGGGCAAGGGAGATGGTGGTTCCCGCCACAGTACATTTGTTCTGCCTGTCACTCCATCTGACAGAGGAAATTAAACCTGGACTACCGCATGCTTGGGTGAGCTCCCCATGGCTCCGTTGTCAAATGCAGCACTCAGGAAAACACGGATACCACACACACACACACTCAGCCAAACACACACACACAGGGTTATACACACACACACACGGTTCATTATTCCATACCGCAATATTGTAGGAGAAATGTGGACGCTGCACTGATGCATAAACCAGCGGCAAATCATGGCAGATCAGTTTAGTGGAGCTGAACATTATAGAGCCAGTGGGCTTGCAGACAGAGGAGAGGAGGACCTGAGCAGCCAGGGAAATAAGAAAACATGACAGTAGACAAGGCTAGGTCTCCGACTGAACTAGCCAGCCTGAACATAATAACCCAACACGGCACGGACCGCCATAATGTGACGTTAGCAAATGCAACATATCAACTCGGTAAACGGCTCATGTATATTTAAGACAATTACATTGCTATCGACCATGTCCACGGGCCGCTAAGTGACTAGTCTACATGCTAGCCTGATAAGTGTCTATAATTCCTGGAATGCAATGTCCACGCTTGACTTTTTTCCATCTCCAGACATTGGACAATGTTAGCTATGAAAGACCAGAAAAGGCACTGAAGCGATAACCACTGCCTGATTGAGTCCATGTTTATGTCCTACTTAAACAAGTATCCTACGCCAACAGGTAAAAGACCACAGCCTATGCTGTTGCACCACCTTCAGGCACAAGTGAGCAATGCAGGTCTTTCTATAGGTTGGCTGGGGGTGTCACGTGACACAAATAAATTAGCACTCAAACTCATTCCATGGAAGGCCTAGTGTCTGAGTTTTTGGTTTTTCCTTTCAATTAAGACCTAGACAACCAGGTGAGGGGAGGTCTTTACTAATTAGTGACCTTAATTCAATCAATCAAGGGAGGAGCGAAACAAGGGAGGAGCGAAAACCCGCAGACACTCAGCCCTCCGTGGAATGAGTTACAGCTTCAAATCATGTTTTATTGGAGTACGAAGGAGAAGGGGGCTGGGGCAGAAAGGGGTATTGGCTTGGTGTATTCTGAAATGAAGGGAACCATTTTTGATACAGTCATGCCAAGGCCACAATGTGACACTGACTGCAACCTACAGCTACCCAGCAAACGGACTGCCCTCCTTTGTCCTTGCGTTTACTCTTTATGGGGCATTTACTTTACTCAGGCAAGGCAAGGCTTTGCCCTGGTTGAATACAACACAAAAACATAGGCAACCTCTGTGTGTTTGCAGACAGTAATGCATTCCTAGCCCAATTTTTCCCTGCTGTGTTCACTCACTGCACAAGTCAAATACATCCCACCGATGGCTACGTACCTCCTAATCAACACTTTGACAAGTTAGAGTGGAAAATAGTAAATATGAATGGATTGATAAAATTAGCCTGGGTATTAATAGACCATCAACCCTCTGGATACAGCAGCTGTCATTAAAAATGGACGCCGTTGCTGGTGCGCCCGTGTCTGAAGGGAAATGGAGCACGTGCAGTGGGGCGGACGGCCAATGGTGGGAACCTGTCCACCAGCTGGCCCCCGCGACCCCAGAAGCGATGCGGTTGGGCGCCAGGCACCTAACCAGATGCAATTAGGCACTCGCCACAGTCCACTTAATTAGCTGAGTCCTGGGCGTATCTTTACATTTTGAAGTGAACCGCTGAAGGGCAGCTTAAATGGTAAGGCTTATCAGGGCGAGGCAGCTGTGATAAGCTTTGCCTCTCTTTTATGGGGAGTTTGTGTCTGTTTGTTTTTAATGGTTTGTGGCAGGGAAATATCCCCCAAATACTTGGGGGAAGGAGGGAGGGAGGGAGGGAATCCCGCCCCCTTTGGTTTTCATTTGCCATGAATTAAAACGGCTTCATCTCAAAGCCATATAAAAATGGTCTGCGCTTTGCAGCAGATCTGCGTCCCCGATCATTAGAAGACATCAAAGTTGCGGGGACACTAGAGAGGTTAAGATACGCTCCTTTGAATACCCATCTTCTCCAGACCAACCTCACATTAACTTCTTTAACCTAATTAGGAGTGTTAATGAAGTCGCCGTGGGAGTGTTCTCTGACTGTACTGTTTTGCCTCGGCAGCTTGACATTCAGAATTATCGAGCTGGGAGGTGTGACAGAAGGGGGATACTCATCAAAAGACGTCCACCTCCAAACAATGTTTAACACAAGCTTCTCGTCTCCTCTGCACATTCAAATAGGGGAGGCAAATGCCGTTCCCTGGCCGCCAGAGTGACTGGAAGGAGACCACTTCAAATACAATGCTCCTCTGGGACAGCCAGGCATCGATCAGGCATCGGCAAATGAAAACAGATGTAGGTGCGCGGTAGCGCTGTCCCACCTGGCCGATGAATGACGAATGACCACCGTTAATGAATAGGCCGTCACATTATCTGATTGGCTGGGTGCTTGGCGGATATGATTTCATTTTGAAGATGGCTGGATGGTGACTCGGCTCTAACGCGAGGGAGAAGCACAAGCACAATCTGGACCAAAATCCATACATTCAAAATGAAGAGCTCCAGGCACATTAACAGTCAAGCTCGGTCTTGAACTCAGTCTGGGGTTGCGTTCATACAAACCACACTCGTACATAGGAAGAGAATAGTGAGAATAATAGTGTGGCGCTGCAGCAGTGCTGAGCCCTGAGACAGGCTGCCTCTCCCACTCATGATCTGAGAGGCAGACAGACGTTTCTGGGGGAAGGCAGGCAGAAGTGTGCCCGACCAGCTGTGATTAACCTAATGTTAATGTCCGTGCCCCGCGTAAATCTAATTAGCATAACACAAAAATCCCCATCTAAAATCAGTCAGTTTAAGCTAGATATCTGTTTTTTGTCTCAATCCACCACATCCGTCGATGTCGCACTTCCACATCTGCGGTGAAAGGTGACAGAGATAGAGCGGTGTTTGTCAGATTATGAAACATCCAGAAAACCGGTCTTCTCACAAACAGGTCTTCTCGTCTGTAGCGTCTGAACGGTTTGGCCTACAAACTATTGCTTGGGCCAAGAAACACGAGCAATGGACATTAGACCGGTGGAAAGATGTCCTTTGGTCTGGAGTCCAAATTTGAGATTTTTGGTTCCAACCGCCGTGTCTTTGTGAGACGTGGTGTGGGTGAACGAATGATCTCCGCATGTGTATTTCCCACTGTAAAGCATGGAGGAGGTGGTGTTATGGTGTGGGGGTGCTTTGCTGGTGACACTGTCTGTGATTTATTTAGAATTCAAGGCACACTTAACCAGCATGGCTACCACAGCATTCTGCAGCGATACGCCATCCCATCTGGTTTGGGTTTAGTGGGACTATCATTTGTTTTTCAACAGGACAATGACCCAACACACCTCCAGGCTGTGTAAGGGCTATTTTACCAAGAAGGCGAGTGATGGAGTGCTGCATCAGATGACCTGGCCTCCACAATCCCCCGACCTCAACCAAATTGAGATGGTTTGGGATAAGTCGGACCGCAAAGTGAAGGAAAAGCAGCCAACAAGTGCTCAGCATATGTGGGAACTCCTTCAAGACTGTTGGAAAAGCATTCCAGCACTGTACCAGTTGAAAAGATTTATCGAAGTACAGTCGTGGTCAAAAGTTGAGAATGACAAATATGAATTTTCACAAAGTCTGCTGCCTCAGTTTTTATGATGGCAATTTGCATATACTCCAGAATGTTATGAAGAGTGATCAGATGAATTGCAAAGTCCCTCTTTGCGATGAAAATGAACTTAATCCCAAAAAAGATTCCACTGCGTTTCAGCCCTGCCACAAAAGGACCAGTTGACATCATGTCAGTGATTCTCTCGTTAACACAGGTGAGTGTTGACGAGGACAAGGCTGGAGATTACTCTGTCATGCTGATTGAGTTTCGAATAACAGACTGGAAGCTTTAAAAGGAGGGTGGTGCTTGAAATCATTGTTCTTCCTCTGTTAACCATGGTTACCTGCAAGGAAACCCATACAGTCATCATTGCTTTGCACAAAAAGGGCTTCACAGGCAAGGATATTGCTGCTAGGAAGATTGCACCTAAATCAACCATTTATCGGATCATCAAGAACTTCAAGGAGAGAGGTTCAATTGTTGTGAAGAAGGCCTCAGGGCGCCCAAGAAAGTCCAGCAAGCGCCAGGACCGTCTCCTAAAGTTGATTCAGCTGCGGGATCGGGGCACCACCAGTGCAGAGCTTGCTCAGGAATGCAGCAGGCAGGTGTGAGTGCATCTGCACGCACAGTGAGGCGAAGACGTTTGGAGGATGGCCTGGTGTCAGTAAGGGCAGCGAGGAAGCCACTTCTCTCCAGGAAAAACATCAGGGACAGACTGATATTCTACAAAAGGTATAGGGATTGGACTGCTGAGGACTGGGGTAAAGTCATTTTCTCTGATGAATCCCCTTTCCGATTGTTTGGGGCATCCGGAAAAAAGCTTGTCCGGAGAAGACAAGGTGAGCGCTACCATCAGTCCTGTGTCATGCCAACAGTAAAGCATCCTGAGACCATTCATGTGTGGGGTTGCTTCTCAGCCAAGGGAGTGGGCTCACTCACAATTTTACCTAAGAACACAGCCATGAATAAAGAATGGTACCAACACATCCTCCGAGAGCAACTTCTCCCAACCATCCAAGAACAGTTTGGTGACGAACAATGCCTTTTCCAGCATGATGGAGGACCTTGCAATAAGGCAAAAGTGATAACTAAGTGGCTCGGGGAACAAAACATCTACATTTTGGGTCCATGGCCAGGAAACTCCCCAGACCTTAATCCCATTGAGAACTTGTGGTCAATCCTCAAGAGGCGGGTGGACAAACAAAAACCCACAAATTCTGACAAACTCCAAGCATTGATTATGCAAGAATGGGCTGCCATCAGTCAGGATGTGGCCCAGAAGTTAATTGACAGCATGCCAGGGCGGATTGCAGAGGTCTTGAAAAAGAAGGGTCAACACTGCAAATATTAACTCTTTGCATAAACTTAATGTAATTGTCAATAAAAGCCTTTGACACTTATAGAATGCTTGTAATTATACTTCAGTATACCATAGTAACATCTGACAAAAATATAAAAAAAAACACTGAAGCAGCAAACTTTGTGAAGACAAATACTTGTGTCATTCTCAAAACTTTTGACCACGACTGTATATATGGAGACTGTTTAATGTAAAAAATATCAGGTTAAATACATGTAAAATATTTTTTTTAAATAAATATTCTGGATCTTTCGCTTATCTCTCAGATATAGGAGAGAATCTGTTATTCAATGCGTTTGTATGGGCTAATAGCAGTGAGGCCAATAATAATCTTTCATCAATATTTTTTACATATTTTCTGATACTTCAAGGGGTCTTAAAATTCAAATAGCTAAATTATCCTTGGTATGACCTTCTTAAAACAATTCCATATAGCTTAGTAGAACCCCTCCCCTCCACTCGCTTAGACAGGGTTTAGACTCTGATGGGTTAAATTAATCATTTTGGCCATGAACCTCGCCCTCCATTACACATCAGTGCACAACATTTGCAGGAGCGAAAAAAATAATAAATGACTTAATTTCAGGGATTCATGAGGAGGGCAGAATCTGGGTCACTTTCTGTCTTTTTTCTCTTCAACCTGGTAGGTTCCAAACAGGCGAGGTTGCATGCATGAAATATCTATCAATCTAAGCATTGATCATCTTGGTTGTGTGTGTGTGTGTGTGTGTGTGTGTGTGTGTGTGTGTGTGTGTGTGTGTCTCTTTGGAAAGCTGGAATGGTGACAATGAGTACAATGTGTGTGAGTACAACACAATGGGACAATCGGTGAGTTGGTGTGTGTATCTGTGTGTGTGTAGTGTATATGTCTGTGTGTGTCTGTGTGTCTGTCTGTATATGCACATCATTAGCTCTGCACACAATGTTTATGTGCATTTGTATAGTACTACTACCAAACAGTATTCCGTACACCACAGTGTTCCATACACTTGACCTCATTTTAGCGCCACATTTTTTTAATACTTCCAGGTCAACTGTAATATTAATATTTAATTGTAAAGCACAATTTCTCCCCTTTCCAGCAAAATCAACGGCGAGACCTCCACGCTGCCCGTCTCTGCATGATTGAAGAAGGCAATTGAGCTCCGCTGGATCTTTTAAAAATGACGGAGGGGGAAGCGAAGGCTACTGAGCGATAGTGAAAGCGATCGATGTCGTGTGGGTAAACGGCTTTCATCACCTCTAAAATGTCAATAAAACACTATAAAGAGTTGATATAATGTCTCATTACATACCGATTTGAAGGTTTGTGTGTAATTTGAATAGGGGTTTTAGGGTGGCGCTAACGTTATCTTCACAAGTAAACTGCGGCTGTCATGGCTTTTGAGAGTCATGATGGCGCGCAGTAATGACGCGAAAAATTAACTATTGATTGAATTAACTATTGATGAACTCATGAGTAATTAACTTTACACTCACCATTGATAATGTCTTGATAAATAAATAAATATCGTTAAATATATGAGTTACACAAAGTAGGGAACTTTATTTTCAGAGTCGATGGATGTGATTCTGTTCAAAGAGAGAGATGAAGGAATAGAATGTTACTTTATATAATGTTAATGAACAAAGCATGAGAATGATTAGGGTTAATATTATAACTTCCAATAGCACGAGAGAAATACTTCTATAAACTACTTAACGTTACAACATTACTGAATAAAGCAACAATATTAATATAAAAAAGAAATATAACTAACAACAGTTGTAACACCAACTCCATCATACACACTGAGTGTACATGAACACCTGCTCTTTCCATGAAATATGCAATACTGTTATGTTGGATTACATGGAAATGATATCCACATTTGTGAGCCCATTTCCTTGGCACAATCTTAATAAATTATGTTGCATGAACACAAAATAAAAAATTAAAAGAGTAATTGTATTATGACAGGAAATGTCTGGAAATGGAAAAGCCCAACAAGAGCCCAAGAAACGGCACCGCTACACCCCTGAACAGCTACAGGCTGCTAACGAGGAGGTGAAGGCAGGGAGGAGCCTGAGGGAGGTGGCTCGTGCCTCCTGTCAGTACCTGTTTACAGGGAAGCCAATGGTCCAAAAACATTCCACATAGTTCACAACTATTGCAGTTTGGTGACATGCAGTCTTTTAGGGAGTCCCGTTCATTGTCTTCACCTTCAGTATTAAGAGCAGAACGAGTGGTATTCAGGAATGTCGCGTCTCAATTTGGGTTAGAGCATTTCATTTGCAAACGACTTTAATAGATAGCACACGTGAGAATTTAGGACATGCGTTATTTACACGTGTTATTGCGCACATGAGATTTCGCAATTATTAAAACACACAGCTCTTGTGAATCGGTTGGCACAGCAAACGTATTTCAAAACGTTAACACAGCAAACGCGAGAGCAAAAAACGTAAGCTCTTTGTCAGCAGTTGACGGGTTTGCTTGTGTAAATGCAGATCAGAGGTTGGCGCGGTGGTATTCTTTTAAGAATCTGCACATCAAAGTCTTATGCAATTCATTATTGATTCGGTGTTTGTGTTATAGATGACCACATTGCTATTAGCACCCTACTCATTAAAATGTGTTTAATATTAGCCATAATAATATTAATACTAATGCTAATTTAAACGAAAATCATGAATAATGAAGGTTTCTTACAGGTGTATATGGTTAAGCATGTTTTTAATCTGCGAGAGAACCGCTACCCCTGGTGGAAAGACGCGGTACGGAACACAATGAGTTGCATAATGCGTGCCATACGTTACGTCATGACACGTCACGATGTAACGTACAGCGTCCGAGGGGCCCGTTTTTTCATATTTTTCAAATACTATTGGGTCCATTACCATGTCAATCAACGCTTGAATAGAAACGTAGCTTACACCCCGGATTTTGATGCCAACACAGTCAATACATTGCCATTAGTTTTCATTGCAGCCTCGTTTGAATGCTCCGGTTACGCAAAATGTGTACGGAACACCGTTAGGTAGCAGTAGAAACACACTGTGTATGAGTATATTACTTTGCATCATGATTCCTGCTAAATACAAACTAATTGTAAAAAGTGTCAAATCGGCCTACCTCGTGTCTGGTGAGGAAGAGGTCTGGATGACCGTCCGGATGGCTGCCTCCAGGTAGTCCCTCTCAGGCTGGTCAGCAGCAGACAGCTGTCAAAGTAGACTTGGAACTTGCCGGCGTCCAGTGTGGCGCTCATGACGATGACCTGACCAGACGAGACGAGGGAACAAGGAGAGAAGATAGTGAGACGTGGACTGGGAAGAGAAAATGGTCACCCCTAAACACAGATCGGAGTACAAGATTGTAGTTCGCTCCTAATGGTTCAGGTAAGGATTAGCTTTATCTTAGATCAGTGCCTAAGGGCCAATCAGAAACAGCAGCTCAGAGCAGGAGGGAAGAGCTGACAGATAGGCATGGGAGAGTGACATTAGTATGGTGCAGGTAGATAAGAGGTATTAGAAGTTGGAATGGTCTGGTGTAGTCTCACCACAGGGTTGTTAAGAGTGACAGTCGACGCAGGTGACTGATGAAATTATTCAGTATAGGCCTAGTAGATGGAACAGATCATAGATAGTGTTAGCCAGAAAGAGGGAGTAGATTGGACACTGGCCAAGTGAGAGGAGCCAAGATGGTGGATATATCACAGGAGGACAGAACCCCTGACCCATGAGGATCATGACGCTCAACGCCTGAATAAGTCTCTGGGCACACCATGTTCTCCCCAAGGCCCATTAGATCAGAAGCACATTAGGATCCTGATGGGAGGCGGCGCGCCTCTCTGCTCTTCCATTTTCGCTCAAATACTTCGGCCCACCGTCTCACCACCATTTCGCTTTATGCACCGCGAGACATAATTGCTCTTAATCAAGGCAAATTAAACTTCAAATTTGGGAGAGGGGGGCAGAGGGACGTGAGCGAGGTCGAGCCGGGAGGATGGTTGCCAGTAACCTAGACCTTATTTAACGGTCCCTTATCTCATGTATAATCTTCAATACCATCCCCGACAACAACTAGCCATTATCCATCTGCTTTATGAGAATTGTGTCCGGCACATTCAGCCTATAAAAAACTGCATGCCTCTGGTCTCCTCCCGCTCTCAACCCCCTCCCATCCTTGGCTGATTGCCTCAAAATGGGCTGACCCAGGGAGCTGCTGCAGAGGGGACTCGCTGTGCATTTCTGAGCTGAATGGCTGCCTTTTGTCTTTTCCTCAATAGACATGCAGCTGTCAGCCCGCAGAGAGACTGTCAGCAAAAGGTGAAAAGATGAGAGGGCGAGGAGGAAGAAACGGTAAGGGAAACAAACATTGTCTGCCACCGAGGATTTTTCAGGGGAGGGGAAGTAATAATTGTGTGTGCAGAGAAGCAGGCTCTCATGTAGGAGAGAGCAGGAGTACCTAGTGGAAGGTAGTAATTGAGTCTAGGAGAGTGGACAAAGGAAAGACGCACGGGTGTGGTAACATGTAGCAAAGGCAGGAGAGAAGCCAGTAGGATCAGACAGTACAGCCAGAGGAAGTAAAGAACTCTATGAGACGCTGTGGAATGTAGACTGGCGAGTGGGAGCTGTTGGCTAGGCCAGGGTTCCATTCAGCAGACACATGCGTGAAAGCCCAGATCGCTTTCAGTGGGGCACAAAGTTACGATCGCTTTCAGTGGGGCACAAAGTTAGAAAAATCACGTAGGACTTATATGTTCCTCTGACAAGTACAAATCAGGTCAGCTCTATTCGGGACATTTATACCCGCAACGTTCAGTACATTGCCCCCAGGGGTATGGAGGTTTGACCTCGAGGTCGGACTTCTGCCGGACCACCTCTTTGAGGACGCCCATGAGGATGTCTGTGGCCAGTGTTCTCTCATGGGCCTCATCCAGGATGATGACGCCGTAGCGCACCAGCAGGGGGTTGTTCATGGCCTCCCACAGCAACATACCATCTGTCATGTACCTGCAACAAGGGAGAAAACACAACGGATAAGTCTTTAAAGTGGACATTTTAATCAAACAACTTAACTACTGTGTACTGCTATATTAACCAGGTCTCTCTTGTAAAGGATATTTAGAATCTAACTTTTTTGCTAACAGAGAGACAAGACTGGGAGGTGCTACCTGAACTTCTCCAATAATTAAGCAAGTTGAGGTGACTAAACTGCTTTGAGTAACCCTGGATTGTAAACTGTCATGGTCAAAACATATTGATACAACAGTAGCTAAGATGGGGAGAAGTATGTCCATAATAAAGCGCTGCTCTACCTTCTTAACAGCACTATCAACAAGGCAGGTCCTACAGGCCCTAGTTTTGTCACAACTGGACTACTGTTCAGTCGTGTGGTCAGGTGCCACAAAAAAGGACTTAGGAAAATTGCAATTGGCTCAGAAGAGGGCAGCACGGCTGGCCCTTGGATGTACACAGAGAGCTAATATTAATAATATGCATGTCGATCTCTCCTGGCTCAAAGTAGAGGAGAGATTGACTTCATCACTACTTGTGTTTATGAGAGGTGTTGACATGTTGGGTGCACCGAGCTGTCTGTTTGAGCTACTGGCGCACAGCTCGGTCACCCATGCATACCCCACAAGACATGCCACCCGAGGTCTCTTCACAGTCCCCAAGTCCAGAACAGACAATGTGAGGCGCACAGTACTACATAGAGCCATGACTACATGGAACTCTATTCCACATCAGGTAACTGATGCAAGTAGTAAAGTTAGATTTAAAAAACAGATAAAAAACACCTTATGGAACAGCGGGGACTGTGAAGCAACACAAACATAGGCACAGACACATGCATACACACACATGATAACATACGCACTATACACACACATACACATGGATTTTTGTACTGTAGATATGTGGTAGTGGTGGAGTACGGGCCTGAGGGCACACAGTGTATTGTAATGTTTTTAAAACTTTATGAACCTTAATTTTGCTGGACCTCAGGAAGAATAGCTGCTGCCTTGGCAGGAACTAATGGGGATCCATAATAAATACAAATAAGAACGCTCATCTTGGTTTTCCATTGCAAAATGTATTGCTACGATGCGCCCCCACTGAACAACCCCAGTTTTTGGCTTCAGTAGACTAGCCCTTATTTGAGGAAGGTCTTGGCCGAGCTGCAGTCCTTGAATCGAGTAACCCACCTCCTTGCCCAGCATGACGTCCATCTCGTCTGCCACCCTCAGGGCGACGCTCATGGCTGCCACCCTCCTGGGCTGGGTACAGGTCACTGCCTTCTTAGGACAGCCCATGACCTTCACCGTCTGAGGGGAGAAAAGGAGATGGCGAGAGGAAGAGGTCATTCAAGCACACTCACTTTTACTATCGCTTCACCTTCTCCACCTTCCACAAATAAGGAGCCAAACCAATAACATTCAAAAGCGCTTTACAAAATGACACTGACGATAGCTTTGAGTAAGAAACACAGACATTTTGATTGCACAGATGTTTTGAAGAGCAAAGCATTAATAAACTACCATTTACTGTCTGTAAACCCCATGGCACCATCCCCGATCGCCCCATAATATTTGTGAAAACTCTTTAGAATTGTAATCTGTGGGGGTCACCGAATAGGCTGATACCCCATTTCTTGGAGCCAAGATCCATAGGTAAGGCTGTACATTGCAATATAAGTATGATCCCAATGCAATTCTGAAGTCTGACACATCCACAGTGCGTTTTCAACAAATGTACTCATTATTGTCTTTTGTTGAATTTATATAACATTCAACCCTTGTTTAGCATTATCTAGTCCAATTGTAGCATGAATCCACTATTTTTATCAGTTTGCATCACTTTCAATGGGGGACATTTATTTAAGGCGACACGCTGATTCCAATATTGTTGCTGAGGCGAATGTTGTTCACAACACACTGGTCTGAAGATGGACTTTCATTACATTGCAGTTTGACATGTAACAGTCACATTTCCTTCACTCAGTCATTACCAGTGGAAGCATTGTAACTAGAACAATAAAAACCACTGTTCTGAACGTTTTAGGGTCCATACACAGATCGGCTTCATAGCTACACGTCCAGCATACAGGTGCTTTGATCCTCCACTACACAATAAGCAAGAAAATTGTTAACTACTGCTACGTTACTTGCATTGGCAAATATCTTCAATCTCTAATGGTTTCATTACGTTACTACAGTAAAGATCAATGACAAGTGATTGACTGAAATATTTTTTGATGAATTGCAAAGCAAGCTTACATAATTGCACATTAAATTGGCAGTAAATGCTAGCTAGCTAGATTCTTTAAATCCACTGGCTTTCACAAGATGACAGCCTGGTTTGCTGGTTCGCTAAATGACAGCCTGGTTTGCTGGTTCGCAACAAGCTAAATGTATAGCTAGTTGGCTAATGTTAGCTAATCAACTAGCTTGTTAAAGATGCACTATGTAGAAATCGCTCTGCCATTTCTCAGTCCCTGCCACTGAAAAACATCCCCACCGCATTTTGCTGCCACCACCATGCTTCACCGTAGGGATGGTGCCAGGTTTCCTCCAGACGTGACGCTTGGCATTCAGGCCAAAGAGTTCAATCTTGGTTTCATCAGACCAGAGAATCTTGTTTCTCATGGTCTGCGAGTCCTATAGGTGCTTTTAGGAAAAGTGTTGGTGGTTCCAAACTTATTCCATTTAAGAATGATGGAGGCCACTGTGTTCTTGGGGACCTTCAATAATGCAGACATTTTTTGGTACCCTTCCCCAGATCTGTGCCTCGACACAATCCTGTCTCGGAGCTCTACGGACAATTCCTTCGACCTGATTTTTGCTCTGACATGCACTGTCAACTGTGGGACCTTATATAGACAGGTGTGTGCCTTTCCAAATCATGTCCAATCAGTTGAATTTACCACAGGTGGACTCCAATCAAGTTGTAGAAACATCTCAAGGATGATCAATGGAAACAGAGATCATCCTTGTGAATAATTTATTTTGGCTGCAATTTCTGAGGCTGGTAACTCTAATGAACTTATCCTTTACAGGTCTTCCATTCCTGTCCTTGATGGTTTTTGCGACTGCACTTGAAGAAACTTTAGTTCTTGAAATGTTCAGTATTGACTGACCTTCATGTCTAAAAAGTAATGATGGACTGTCATTTCTCTTTGCTTATTTGAGCTGTTCTTACCATAATATGGACTTGGTCTTTGACCAAATAGGGCTATCTTCTGTATACCCCCCCCCTACCTTGTCACAACACAACTGATTGGCTCAAATGCATTAAGAAGGAAAGAAATTCCACAAATTAACTTTTAAGAAGGTACACCTGTTAATTGAAATGCATTCCAGGTGACTACCTCATGAAGCTGGTTGAGAGAATGCCAAGAGTGTGCAAAGCTGTCATCAAGGCAAAGGGTGGCTATTTGAAGAATCTCAAATATAAAATATATTTTGATTTTCTGAACATATTTATTTGGTTACTACATGATTCCATATGTGTTATATCATAGTTTTGATGTCTTCACTATTATTCTACAATGTAGAAAATAGTAAAAAATAAAGAAAAACCCTTGAATGAGTAGGTGTTCTAAAACATTTGACCGGTAGTGTATGTAAATAAGGTATTTTTAATACATTTGCAAACATTTCTAAAAACCTGTTTTCTCTTTTGTCATTATGGGGTATTGTTTGTAGATTGATGAGGGAAAAAAATTATTGAATCCATTTTAGAATAAGGCTGTAACGTAACAAAATGTAGAAAAAGGGAAGGGGTCTGAATACTTTCCGAATGCACTGTATAACTCACATTTCTATGTGAATTTGGTTGGGTCGCCCAAAAAGTTACATATTGCAGCTTTAAATAGCGACTTTCGTAAATTAACTTTATGACCCAAAAATATGCATCATCGTTTTTCTCTAGCTACATTAACCAACATATTCCTCTTAACTGTACTTTTTTTTTGAATGATTCGTCATGAAGTTCTAATTATTTACATTTGCTACCATCCTAATATTTTTGGCAGCCATCTTTCTGAAGCAATTTGGGTTGCCAAGCTTTATGGAAGTTTTGATAACCACTCGATAGGTAGTCTGCATGTCAATTTGCTTCGTTTGGAGGGCCAACTAGAGGGCTGAAAAGGCACTACCCCTCGTTGAATTGGAACACCACTTCGATGCATGATCGTGCAAAACGGAGGGAGAGGGCTAAGGGGGGGGGGGGGGGGGGGGGGTATTGTGATTGAGCCTTAGTAAGTAACTAAGTAAGAGATTGAGTGAGTGCGTGTGTGTACCCCCCATGCCCGCATCTACCCCTTGCCCTGCTTACCTGTGTGGTCTTGCCGGAGCCCGTTTCTCTGACGAGCACGAAGCTCTGGTGGCGTGCCAGGACGTCTTAGAAACGCTCCTTGTACTCCCACACGGGCAGCTGCAGCTTCTTCTTCAGGATCTCATAGTAGCACGCTGTGTGGGGCAAGTTGGTGAACGGGTTGATCTGCTGCTGTATGGCTGTCTGCTTGAGGGAGAGAAGGCCCGCACTGCAACCGCAGACAGCTGGGTTCAGGGCCATGCCAAAGGGCTTGAAGTCCCTGTCCCGGTCTCGGTCGCTGTCTCACCTTTGGTGGAGGATACATGTTAGTAGTGTGTCAGACAAGACAAAGCTTTTTTTTAATCAGCCAGGCACCATTCCCTTCTCTTTTCCCATCTCCTACGTCTTACATGTTGGCAGGGCTAGGGGCTAGAGTAAGGGGTAGGGGACAAAATGAAATGATGCCAACACCAACACAGAAATAGAACAACTCAGATCCAAAGAGTGTAAAAGTGCACCGCGGTTTGGCTATGGCGTGTCCTTTTCCTCAGATAACATGAAAAGGTTACTGCGCATTTCCCTTTCACGCTGCAGAAGAATGTAATCAAGTGTAGCATTCAAAGGTCACATTAATGAAGAAATTAATGGTCTAAAATATCATGAGTCAAATGGGGAACACTTTCCTTTCCCAAATGGGCGATATCTTTATTTCCTTTTTATTAGGCTACAATGCATGTCTACACCCCAGAACCCAAGTATTGAATTTCCTTCTTTGACAAGACCAATGTTGAAGACTCCATTTGATGAATTGGCCAAAGACTAAAAATTGTTGTGGCAATGGGAAATTCCAGAGTAACAGAATGATGCTGACACATTTTTTCCTTTAAAATGTATGCCAAACAAATACCAATGATTGCAAACCATACACATTTGTACAAAAACACATTTACTTGAAGAACAGTGCAGATGCAGTTTGGTAACAGTGCTGTTTGTGCCCATTCTGTTACCAAAGTTTGCATCTGCACTGTTCTTCAAGTAAATGTGTTTTTGTAAAATGTACCCAATGTAGCCTATGTCATGTCTCTTGAGCAATGCACTATTTCCTATAGCTACAGAATTGTAAAGGGAAATATGATGCTCCATTATCCCTTACAGCTTAGCTAGTGTAAAGCCTCAGAAGGGATTTTTTAACTAACTTGTTGTTGTCTGTACTTAACTTTCTTCGTTCTCGATTTGGAAGAAAAGTGTATCTTATAAATGTCCGTCTCCAGTTGCAGGTGGTTCTCCAAAAAACAGAGAATATTCAGAAAGATATTAAATCCACGTTTTGTATCGAGTGAGAAATGCCTCTTGCATGTATGTAGATCTTTTGGTCGCACTGTGTGACACGCTGTCATCTGCTTCTACAAGTATTTGGGGCCGCATCACATAGAAACGATTAGTTCCTGCAAAGATGTCGGGCAATGCAAGATGTCTGGCGACTAAAATGACAAGGGAACTCCAAACTCGATAAAAAAAAGTGTATTTAATATATTTCTGAATATTCTCTGGTTTTTGGTGAACCACCTGCAACTGGACAATTATAAGATACACTTCTTCCGAATCGACAACAAAGAAAGTATCTCCAAAAACAGGTTAGTCGAAAAATGCTTTCTCAGGCTTTACACTAAGGTAGCTAAACTGAAATGGATAATGGAGCACAACCTATCCCGTTACTGCAGCTAGCTATATTTCCTAGGAACATTAGCAGAATATCCAGTTGTCTTGGGTACACCAGTTGACTTCAGAACTCATGTCCTTATGGGCCTAGAATGTTGGCATGACAGTCAGTACCCAATTCCAGGGAAGGATTTCATGAATGTCTGTTCTGTTCTGTTCTGCCAACAAAGTTGGCAATGTGTTTCAGCACCACGTTGACGTCCACTGACTGAATCATTGATTGGGTGACATGCAAATGAGACATCTTAGGGAATTGGTTATTTTCCTTTTCAGTTGCAGAACGTTAATGATAACGTTGTTACTTAGATAGCTAGCTATCCAGTTAGTTAGCTAACTAGCTAGTAGCTACTGAACAGAGACAGCTTTGGATAGTTTCAATGAACTAATAATGATCTAGCTAGCTAGCATGCTAACGTTAGTTGCAGCCAAAACATCTCCTGCACTGCAGTGCCAATGAAACACAAAAACAAAGGACCCTCTCTCCATATTATTCCCTATACATACCCATCAGAAGACGTTCTCGTTTAACTCGATGAATAATAATCTCCCAAATCCAACTGATGTCGTTTAGACATAATTTTTTTACACGTACATACCTATCCAAAATAAGGAACAAAAGTAGGTAGATTATTATTTATGCCATACAATTTCTGCACACTGCTGCTAAGCACCACAAATATGGCGACCGGAAGCACTTACCTCAATTATTATTTTCTCTGCTAAAATAACAGAAAAGCAGCAATTTAACGTGAGTTTAGTCGAGCCAGATATATTCAATCTTTGCGCCACGTGAAACTGTAAAGGACAGCTGTGGCCGTGGAGTGGATGGTTGGCTGTCTGGAGATGTTCTGGTTGACCAAATGCAGCCTCCCCCTAATAAAAAAAGATGGTCCATGTGCAATACCAAGTTGACCTATTGTGATAACATAGAACATATAAATCCAGTTGTAGAATCCATCCCAAAGCCAAAAATGTGAGAGCTCACATTTGTTTACAAATAACATTTATATGATAAATGTGTATTTGAAGAGGGCTGTCCATTTCTTTTGTTATGGCATAATAACCACATTATGCACATTTGTGTCAGTGATTATTTCAAGCCATGTCAATCTTTCAAGAACATATGAAAAACCCTATCCACATGAGACATTTTCAGTGGTTACATCTCTTCCAAGATATTTCTTGAATGTTTCAACCTATAATATTATGTAGGGATGAATCAGCTGGCACTGGAAACAATCATTGTCATCGACAGAGGTAATTACACAGCCTGGGCATTGCTAACAAGCATCATAATGGCAAATGGCTCATTGCATGTAACCAGGGATTGATGGTGATGGGGAAGGAGAAGTCAACGTTACAACAAAGCCTCACTAATGCTCTATATCCAAGGCAAATTTAAAATACCAGGCTTTTGTCTCCCTTTCTTTCACAGGCAATTAAATAACAGTCCAATTGTGTGTGAAATAGGCCTGCCAAGCAGAGGTGCTGAAATACAGAGACAAGACCAATACCATACCGACACAGGAGAGGAATAGCCCTTTTATTTCACTGTGAAAACGGACAATAGCTTGCTACCTGAATGGAAAATCCTCTCAATAATATCAAGATGTGAGGATTGCAAGGCTGCACTCTAAACATCAAGTAACTATAACAAGTGACAATAAAACTGGTATTGTTCAAAATAGTTATTTCAACAGATTTGCAAGATCTACATTGTATTTTTTCATAGTTTTGCACCACAGCTGTTCAATAGATAGTAAGTAGACAAGGTATTGAATACATGTTTATATGGTTCTAAATATTGATTATTAGTATTGTTATTATTATTATTTTTATTGTGTCTGGAAAAATGACAGAAGATAGCATTTTACACTGAAGTTCATCGAGCCAGTTACAGGAATCTATTTTCAAACTATTCCTAATTATTCTTTATCCAATGCTGGCTCATGTTTGAGTATATTGCAGTAGAGATTCTCCTCCAAAATACTCCCACTCTATTTGGTTGCTTAAATACCCTTCATTCAAGCAACTCCAGTGGTTATCTCTTCAGGTAATTCACTTTTTTAGCACTGTATTCTTGCATGTGTGGTAGGAATGTTACTTGTTGTATCCTTTGTTGAATATCATGTTACTTCATTTCAAATAACCAAGCTACTTCTCAATGTTGTGAAACTATTCCATGGAAAATATTTAACACCACATAAAACAATCTACAGTGCATTCGGAAAGTATTCAGACCCCTTTAATTTTCCACATTTTGTTACATTACAGCCGTATTCTAAAATTGATAAAATTGTTTGTTTTTCCTCGTCAATCTACACACAATACCCCATAATGACAAAGCAAATACAGCTTTTTTTTAAATTGTTGCACATTTATTAAAAATTTAAAAACAAATATCATATTTACATAAGTATTCAGACCCTTTACTCAGTACTTTGTTGAAGCACCTTTGGCAGCGATTACAGCCTTGATTCTTCTTGGGTATGACGCTATACGCTTGGCACACCTGTATTTGTGGTGTTTCTCCCATTCTTCTCTGCAGATCCTCTCAAGCTCTGTCAGGTTGGATGGGGAGTGTCGCTGCACAGATATTTTCAGGTCTCCCCAGAGATGTTCGATCGGGGTCAAGTCCGTGCTCTGGCTGGGCCACTCAAGGACATTCAGAGACTTGTCCCGAAGCCACTCCTGCGTTGTCTTGGCTGTGTGCTTAGGGTTGTTGTCCTGTTGGAAGTTGAACCTTCGCACCAGTCTGAGGTCCGGGGCGCTCTGGAGCAGGTTTTCATCAAGGATCTCTGTACTTTGCTCCATTAATCTTTCCCTCAATCCTGACTAGTCTCCCAGTCCCTGCCGCTGAAAAACATCCCCACAGCATGATGCTGCCACCACCATGCTTCCCCATAGGGATGGTGCAAGGTTTCCTCCAGACGTGACGCTTGGCATTCAGGCCAAAGAGTTCAATCTTGGTTTCATCAGACCAGAGAATCTTGTTTCTCATGGTCTGAGAGTCCTTTAGGTGCCTTTTGGCAAACTCCAAGTAGGCTGTCATGTGCCTTTTACTGAGGAGTGGCTTCCGTCTGGCCACTCTACCATAAAGGCCTGATTGGTGGAGTGCTGTAGAGATGGTTGTCCTTCTGGAAGGTTCTCCCATCTCCACAGAGGAACTCTGGAGCTCTGTCAGAGTGACCATCAGGTTCTTGGTCACCTCCTTGACCAAAGCCCTTCTCCCCCAATTGCTCAGTTTGGCCGGGCGGCCAGCTTTAGGAAAAGTGTAGGTGGTTCCAAACTTCTTCCATTTAAGAATGATACAGGCCACTGTGTTCTTGGGGACCTTCAATACTGCAGAAATGTTTTGGTACACTTCCCCAGATCTGAGCCTCGACACAATCCTGTCTCAGAGCTCAATGGACAATTCCTTCAAAACTCATGGCTTGGTTTTTGCTCTGACATGCACTGTCAACTGTGCGACCTTATATAGACAGGTGTGTGCCTTTCCAAATCATGTCCAATCAATTGAATTTACCATAGGTGGACTCCAA